CTACTCCTCCTCCCCCTCCTCCTCCCCTCCTCCACAATTACTCAATATGAAAATACTCTCCCTCTTCGCCTGATGGCGTCCGGGTGATGGCCGCGCACCCTCCGTGTACTGTTTTTTAACACACAGGATTCCGGGGAAATCCCGGGAAACGACTCTCGCTGAGGCGCCGGCATCACTTTTTCCCAAAATGCTGCTCTCGTTGAGGCGCCGGCCTCATTTCTGCTCCCGAATCGTTCCGAATCGTGCTCCCGCTGCAGCGTGGGCCTCATTTTCGGATCGGTGTTTGGCCTCCGTCGTTCAGGATGGCGTTCTCGCCCCAGCGCGGGCCTTTTTCTCGCGCGCCCATCCGCCCGCCACCACCGCGCCGCACCGCCACCACCACCACCACCACCACCACCACCACCACCACCACCACCACCACCACCACCACCACCACCACCAACCACCACCAGCACCACCACCACCACCACCACCACCACCACAGCACCACCACCACCACCACCACCACCACCACCGACAACCACGCACACACGCACGCACGCACGCACGTGCACCACCACCCACTACGCACGCGCGCGCGGAGCCACAGGTCCGCTACGACACGCGTCCGCGGATAGAGAAAATCAGCGCCATGGTAAGGGATGGGAGGGAGGGGTAGGACGTCAGATATGACGCGAGCGCACCTAGCTTGTCCCCCCCCCTCGCCCTCCTCCTCCTCCTCCTCCTCCTCCTCCTCCTCCTCACCCTCATACTCTTCCTCCTCCTCCTCCTCCTTCTTCCTCCTCCTCCTGCTCCTCCGCGGAGCATCGAGCCGCATCGCTGATGTGCCGATGCACTCCTCGATGCGCCGCGGTGCTCGGAACCCATCCAAGCGGGCGTCCACTGGAAGGCCTATGGAGACACGCGAGAGGCCCCCCCCCCTCGTGGGGGAATGGACAGATACCGATGCCGCAGCGCCCCAGACCTCAACAGGGGCGCGCCCTGACCAGGACCTCGAGGCGCAGCCGGCCGTGGCGACAAGGGAAGGGCAGCGGCGTCGGCACGTAATCACGATTACCTTCCTCCTCTGACCCTGGGATCTGACGGTGCGAAGCCAAAGCCTTGGACTCCACCTTCCTGCGCACTTTTCGAGCCGCATCGATCTGGCATGGCCCTGGAGCCCGAGGGCGGGCGCAAACGAACAGAAGGAACAAGCTGCAGCGCCCAGATCTCGGGGAGCGCGGAAGGTCGGGGGGCATTCCCCGGACCTCTCCCCGGATGCGTTCTGGCGAGAACTTCACGGAGAAGCCTGCCGTGCCGACGAGGACTCTCCGGGACGAGCAGGGCGGCACCTCGGCCTCCTCTGAAGCCCTGCAGGCGCCTGGATCTCAGGGGATGGTCAGCGTGCTGCGTCCGTCGATGCCGCACTGGCCGGCCTCCCAGATGGGGTCCGAGCAGATGGGGTCGGAGGGTCGCGACGCATCGCCAATGCATCGGAGACGTCGGCAGTGCATCGGCACCATCGGCGTGGAGAAACTGTGGCTCCACATCGAGCCGCATTGCCGATGCATCGTCGATGCGGCGCGGTCCTTCGACCCCATGTACGACAAGCTCGTGACGTGCCGACTTCGGCGCTGGCTTCTGACACCGCGGGGATCGTTCAACCTTGGACGATCGGCTATTTTCGAAACACCGGATCGTTCAACATCGACCGCTTCTGGGCCACGGGCGGCGCTCAACCTTAAACGCCCGCGCTGGGGCGCTGGGGGCGCTGTTGGTCGATACGACGCGCCAGGCAAGATTTGTACGCCACCGGGCATTGTGTCCAGTGGGCGTGTTAGAATGCTTGCTGTTGCCTGTGGGGTTTTTCAGATTTGTAAGACCGACCCCCCTCCTCGTATCGTGCAACCCTCGAAAATCGTCCCCTCTGGAATTGCTCCCAAATTGGCTCTTCGGCGTCCAAACGGCCAATATGACCTCCAGGACGGCGTCTCAGACAGTCAAGACGGCTCAAGAGGCTTGGAAGACTGCCTCAGGACGCCCAAACAGGCCCCCAAAACTGCCTAAGAGGGCTCCAAGGGGGCCTCCAGGAGAGCCCGAGGAGGCCGAAACCATTGAGTTTCCAGAGGTTTTGGGAGGATTTTGAAGTTCTCGCCTGTGGGGGGTTCCGACCGCCCAAGACGGCCCAAGGGGCCACCAAGATAACTCCAAGGCAGCCCACGAAGCCCCCACGAGGACCCCGAGTCGGCCCAAGAGGCTCCCAAGATGCCCAAGAGGCTCCCAAGATGGCCCAAGACAGAAAGCGCTGCAAGAGGGCGCCAAGACGGCCCAGAGAGGGCCGCCCCGAGACGGCTTCCAAAGGCGGCAGACTGCCAACCGCCTCCCTCGTACAGTCCAACAGGCCCCAAGAGGCCCCAAGAAGCCCCAGGAGGCCCCCGAGAGGCCCCCGAGAGGCTCCCCGGGAGGCTCCCAGGAGGCCCCCAGGAGGCCCCAAGAGTTTGACTGTGTGGGGTCTGCTCGAGAGTCCGTCCGCTCGGCAGCCTTTGGGGCTCGGCAGTGGGCGGGCGGGATTTTACAAGTAAGGCGGAGTTTCCGCCTCAGACGGCGCGGTCAGCGCGCCGCCGCGATCGCAGGAGAAAGAGGTTCTCCTTCTGTGTCATCATCGACGACGGGCTGCAGTGCCCTGGTATTCAGAAAGAGGGCCCCCAGAAGCTGCCTCCTGCTCGTCCTCACGTTTTCCGCATCCTTCTTTCCCTCCTCCTCCTTCTTTTCCTCCTCCTTCTTTTCCTCCTCCTCCTCGTCCTCCTCCTCCTCCTCACCGCGCGGACGAAGTCGATATCGGGATCAGGACATTCCCCAGTTCAGACCAATTACTCGCTGAACTGTCGCAGGGTGTGAACTCGACCTCCTCCCTCCCGCGCGAACGAAGACGAGGTCGAATTCACGACCCGTCCTTGTCGAACCACTCGTCGGAACCGCGCTGTTCCTACACTCAGCCTCCTTCCTGCTGCGCCCTTGCATATCCACTGCAACTTGGATTTTTTAGGAAGGGGCGCCAAAAGGCCGAGCCGAGTGGATCTTGATAAAAATCGAGCCACTGGGGCCAGATCTTTGTCCACATCCACTGCACCTCCAGTTCCTGGGGAAACGGGCCCGAAGTTCCAAGACGCAGTGGATGTGGATATTGATATTGGCCGCAGATGCGGAGCGAACCTTCGACCCTATGTTACCACATACGGATGTTCAAACACATCAAACACTGGGAACACACATAATTGTTCCGCGGGCTTCTTGCGGATTGGGACCCTACTTTCACGGGGAAAGAATGATTCCCCGGCGGCGGCCACCGCTGATGATCGGGGTGATGATGGTGCTAATTGCCAGTAAAGCCATGTTTGGGAAAGCAAACGGTACCGATACCGCTACTCCCCGGACCTCCCCTGGGGTGCGTTGTGACCAAAATTTCGAGGCGAATAGAACGGTGGCGACGAGGGCCTCCCAGGAGGGCGAAACAACGGGCGAAGGGTAGCTAGCGGTATGGGTACCTTGTCCTCCGCAGACAGCTGGCGGCGCGCACGGGAGAGGAAAGGGGAGGGGGAAGGCTTCTCAGAAGAAGGCTGCCCCTTGGAAAACGCCAGCTCTGCCATCTACAGACAAGGCCTGCGCCTGCTAAGAGGCAGGGGTGCTTCTGGGAGGCTTCCCCTCCTCCTCCTAATTGTAAGCCGGGCCTGTCCTCCTACAGAGGGATTTGGAAGAAAAATTAAAGATAGTCAGCAATACTTCAAAATGGGCAAAAAAAAAATAAGACAAAACAAATGTGTTTACTATTTTGGGATTTTCCTCCTGTAGGGTGACAGGCCCGACGTAACCCGAATTGCCCCCTCTGCGCGTGGCCGAAACATGTCCGCTCGGACCCCACTCGGGGAGGCCTGCACGCACGCGGCCTCAGGCCGCGACCGCCGCCTCGCCCGGCGGCGCGGCCCCGACCGGCTCGCGCACGGGGCCCGCCTGCGTCGCGTGCTCCTCTCGGGCTGCGGCTGGCTCCGGGGCCGGCGCGGTCGGCGGCGCGCGCTCAGGAGGCGGCGGCGGCGGCGGACCTGTGCAGGTACCCGAGTGTGGACGCTGGCGTTCAAGGGAATAGCCCGTCAGCTCAACTGCCTGGAGTGCGCTATAATCAGCGGTGCTTCGCACGTGGGGGAGGGTTCGACCGTGCCTCGGCGAACCCAGCTCGGAGATATTCCTGGGGCCAGGCCACGCTCAAACTCGACAAAAACGGGGCGGCCACAAACATTTTAGCGGGCGACAGGGACCGAGCCAGAAAGGAGTATTCAAAGGCCCGATCGACGCGTCAGGATGGTGAAAAAAATTGAACCCAGGAGAGCACCAATGAAGATGGGCAACGCGGACAGCACGGCAGAATTCGAGGCGCACCCCCCCCCCCACCCACCGCCACCCCCAGCAGCCTGAACGACGGAGCGACCAGGGCCCAGAGCCGCCTTCCAAGCCATCGGACGAGGCGGAGGGTCGAGGGTCCGTCGCCAGCGCCGCGGCTGCCACTTTCTGCGCGCCTTCGGCTTCCTCCAATTCGTCGAACAATCGCATCGTCGAGCGTGGACGAGTCGACGTCACCGACGGGGGAGGAAAGAGGACAGGAGGGGGAGTCGGCGGCGGGCACCCGTCCAAATCAGCGCGCGCCGCTGCGCCAGGTCGGCGGGCACCACGGGCGCGAGAGACAGGGGCAGGCGAACGAGCACGCTCAGGAACTCGGGATCGAGTGCTCACTCTCAGGCCCGTTGTCTCGGCGCCACTGAATTCTGTCTGCACATCTAGACTTGCTCTGCCATCTCGTCGAGCGCAAGCTGTAGAAAGCGCTCCTGATGGCTCTTGGGCGGCGTGCCCTTCTTCGCGGCGAAGACCTCCTTCTGTGCTCCCGCTCTGGTGGCCTCGAGGAAGATCTTCATTATAGTCCTGTCGTGCGTGTAGGCTGCTCGGCAGTACTTGACCTTGTCGGCCAGTGTGTCGTTCGTCTTGTCTGAACCTGCTCTGATCTCCCCCGTGTGAGTCTTGATCTTCGCCGCATTCCGAGCACCCACTTTCTCGCCTTGCTGCTGCAAGGCCCCGACCATAGCTAGCCACAAGTGCGGGCGCGGCATCCCTACACTTGTCGAGCTCTTCGACGCGGCGTCCATTCTTCAGCTCCTGGCGATGGTGCTGGCGGAGACGCTTGGCTTCCATCGCGAAGTATTGACCCGTCAGCTTCATGGCCATGCAGACTTCGCGGATGGCTATCACGTGGATCACCGTGAACACTGTCGCCTCGATAGCCGAGATGTTCTGGCTGTTCTTGAGAGTGGCCCGAAACACGAGGGCATCAGGGCCTGGATCAGCCGCAGCGGCATTGCGCCTTCTTGGAGGCGCACCGCGTCCAGACGAGAAAGGCCGCACGTGTTCTCGGCGCCGTCGAACATTGCTCCGAGGTTGAACAGGGTCTGCGGACCTGGCGACTGGCCTGGCGGCGGCCGCGGCCGCGGGCGCCCCTGGGCGCCCGACGTCGCGCCTGCCGCCTGCGACGGCGACAAAGGGGGCGGCCGCGCCCTCTGCCTGCCCGCCCGAGCCCGCGGCCGCGCCCCCAGCACGCACGCGCCGAGCCTGCGCTCGGCGCCCCGCCCCCCGCTCGCCGCCGCAGGGGCGGAGCTCGCTGCCTCTGCTCGCGGGGTCCACGCTGAGGGCGCGGCCCGCCAGGTCCATGGTCAGCTGCGGGATAGACGAGGTCAGGAGCTGGCGGCGCGTGAACCTCTCGAATGTGAAGCTGCAGTTCAGGCAGTGTCTCAAACGGTGATAATTGCGTCGAACCAGGCGGCATGCGGCGTGCGTATCCCTGGAAAGCCGACTCAAGATCAACGCAGAATGGGAAACACAGATCCTGTGGGGCAATCGCTGCTGGGGCGCGCGGGCCTAGATCACAAATGCATCTCCGTTTCTTCAGCGACTGTGCAACGTGTCGTTTGGCAAATACGTGACTCTTGAAGGTGGACATGCAATGTGGGCATTGAGTAGTGACCACCATCAAGTGAGCAGGAATGCGAATTCTATGAGCGGGAAAATGGCATTGATGAGCTATCAAAGCACTCACCCCATATACGACTTGCCAACAAACTCCATCGGGTCCGTCTCCTGAAGTAGACACGTGAGCCGCTGGAGCTCCCTCAGCGAGGTCTTGTTGGGGAGCAGACCGACAGGGCTCCTGATGGCGGGTTCCTTGCGGGGCTTATCGGTGTTGAACCTGGCAAAGATACGTCCCTTGCGAAGATGTTCCTCGCCGGGTACTCCTCCAAGAGCTCCGGGCCCCTTCTAGAAATCGTACCGCAGGGCCAAAGGGATCGCCGTGGGGCCCACCGAGCCGTCCTCTGAGAACGTCTTGGCTTCGTCAAGGCCGTCAACAGGTCCCGAAATCGCCGCGAGGGGTTCTCGGCTGTCATCAGGATAAAGCGCGTAGCGATGCCATTGACGGAGACGACGAACGAGCAGTTCAGCACGGGCATCTGTGACCCCCATGTTTGCATGACCGTCGGCTCGGGCGCAGATCGATATGGAGGTCGAGCTCCCTCTGGAGCGTCAACAACAAAGCATGTTTTGCGGCCTTGGAGGGCCACCCGTGCAAAACCGAGAATGACGGCGCCCAGCCGTCTCTATCTAACTTCCCTGGCAGGTGCGACTCCAGCCCCGAGTAAGCAGCCGAAAAGATAATACCTCTGAAAGCCACCCTCTTCAGGCTGATGGAATGTGTAAGCTGCCCAAATCGCCCTATCCTCCTCCGCGCAGATCTTGCGCCCCCCCCCCCCCCCCCCCACCCCACCGATCTCGACCCCGCATCCGCCCGTCAGCTGTTCCATCCCTCCCAAGCACAAGCTTTGGGCTGCAACCACTCCTGGAACTGGGACAGCGTGCGAGAGCAGCGTGCGTGTGGCGGTGTAGGCTCCAGGCCCCGTCATCACAGGCATGCAGGTTTCCTTATCAGGATTCTGAGCAACCCCCCCTCCCTCCAGCTTCTGATCCATTATGCGGTTCGAGTCCAGGGGCCGAGCGCGAGCCTCGAGCAGGTTGGGAGCGCACAAGGGCATCGTCTGGTGAATGTCATCAGCGTAGTGTCTAACCGAAACATCTTGCATCTCGCCTGTGAAAGCACGCGTCATTATGCTGGCAGCTCGGGCAATCGACGCCGGTTGCGATCTAGCATCACGCTGAACAAATTATCCCGGCGAAAGACCCAACCATATGCAGTTGTGAGCACCGCAGTTGTGAATGTCCTCTTCGGTGGCGCTACCTATGGGGCAACGAAACGCGTGAGGGGTGTGCCGAAATGGGCGCGGTGGGCGCATGCGAACGCAGCCACTGGGGCCTTCGGAGGAGCTCCCTGTAGGGCCACGAAACGTGTGAGAGGTGCGCCGAAATGGGTGCGGTGGGCGCATGCGAACGCAGCCACTGGGGCCCTCGGTGGAGCTCTCTGTATGGGGCACGAAACGTGCGAGGGGTGTGCCGAAATGGGTGCGGCGGGCGCATGCTAACGCAGCCACTGGGGCCTTCGGTGGAGCTCCCTACGGGGCCACGAACAGTGTGAAGGATGTGCCGAAATGGGTGCGGCGGGCGCATGCTAACGCAGCCACTGGGGCCTTCGGTGGAGCCCCCTATGGGGCCGCGAAACGCGCGAGGGTTGTGCCGAAATGGGCGCGGTGGGCGCATGCTAACGCAGCCACTGGGGCCTTCGGTGGAGCTCGCTATGGGTCAAGAAACGCGTGAGGGGTGTGCCGACATGGGTTCGGCGGGCGCAGGCTAACGCAGCCGCTGGGACCCTCGGCGGAGCTCCCTATGGGGCCACGAGACGCGTGAGGGGTGTGCCGAAATGGGTTCGGCGGGCGCATGCGAACGCAGCCACTGGGGCCCTCGGTGGACCTCCCTATGGGGCCACGAAGCGCGCGAGGGGTGTGCCGAAATGGGTTCGGCGGGCGCATGCTAACGCAGCCACTGGGGCCTTCGGTGGAGCTCCCTATGGCGCCGCGAAGCGCGCGAGGGGTGTGCCGAAATGGGCGCCGCGGGCGCATGCTAACGCAGCCACTGGGGCCTTCGGTGGAGCTCCCTATGGGGCCGCGAAACGCGTGAGGGGTGTGCCGAAATGGGCGCTGTGGGCGCATGCGAACGCAGCCACTGGGGCCTTCGGCCTTCGGCGGGCCCCCCTGGGGGGAGGAGGGGGAGGAGGAGAGGAAGAAGGAAGGAACGCGGGGCACCGTCTCTTCAAAACGAGGACCCAACACCACAGGATGGTTGGGACAGACAAGACGCCCTTGCGACTGATCTCGCCAGGCCCCCGCAGGCCCACGAACCTGCCCACGGGAAGCTCGCGGGCGCCCCCGCCCCCCATCCCCAAGCCGCGCGCGGGTCGGTGGCGCCCCACCTCCCCCCCCCAGTCCTGATCTCCATCACCGCCTCCTCATGCCGCTGGCGCAGGAAAACGCGGCCTCGCGGGTCACGGACCGTCTCGAGCGCCGCCCCAGCCAGCTCCACATGCGAGGTCGAGGGGGAAGCGTTGGACATGTCCTTTTTGGCGAGGAGGTGCGATGCGCCCAGTTGTCTGGGCCTCCAGCTGCGACCCGCGGCGGTGATCTGGGCGTTCTGTCGGGCATGCCCATGAGCATGAGCGGGAAGGGGAGGTCGTTCGCGCCTAAAATACATGGCCCTATACCAGGCCTTTCCAAGGGGACAATAGCAATGTATGAACCTCATGGCCTTGGTGCCCCTCTTCTGGTTCCCCTTCGAGAGCTCAAAGGTATTACGTACTCCAGTGCCAAGCCGTGGGTGTCCTAGATTTCGCTCTGAGCTGTCTGAAAGTTCGCCTAATACGTTCTGCGAGGTTCGGGCAATGCACGCGCATGCGGTTCTCGGCCCGGACAATTTGCGCGTCGCCCCAGGCGAGACGTGAGCGGCCATTCGCCCGAAAACTCTCGGGAAGCTTGAGATTGTAGCCATGGCCATAATTCTGCAGGCAGTGAATGACTCGGGGCAAATCGACGGCGAGCAGCTAGCTTGAGTTGATGAAGGGTGCGATACACATCCAAGGCAACTGATGCAGGGGCTCTTGCTAGGACCCCAGGGCCTTCCTCCGCCAAACGCTCGAGCTCCATCCGTGTTGCCTCGCCGGGGGCTGTCATAACCTTTGCCGAAAATCATCCTTCCGTCGCCGTCGCCTGCGTCGTCGTCGTCCACTCTGATAGCTGAGGCCGATTAGCGTCTGGTACATTGTGCGTGCGTTTCCCTGGCCCCAGACATCGAGCGCCAATCTGGCAGATCACCCTCCACAGGTTGCTCGTGTCGGCATCCTTTCGGTGCAGTTCGGCCCCCTCCAATAGTCTGTCGATGTGGGCCACGTCCAGTCGGCGCTTCTCACGCCGAATAAACTTGTCAAGTTCCCGTAGTCGTTGTCGAAAGACTTCAGCATGCTGAACCGTCTCGGTCGAGGCGCTGATCGTGGTGAGTGTGGTCTCACGGCGGTGCGCCAGAAGCTCATCTCTCTCTTCGCGGCATACTCTAGCCTGGCCTGGTATCTCCTGGACAAGCTCCAGCTCGGGTAGCGCTGCCTGTCTGAAGTCCCGTGCAAGTGACGTCCACGCAGGGGCGGGGTCCGTCTTGTTTGTGTCGCGCGTCCACTGGTTGCGAATGGTTGTCGACAATCTCTCCGATTCCTGCAATAACTCGGCCCCAGGTCCATCAAACTGTAATAGTTGTTCCACCGTGGATCGCCTTTTACAGGGGTAGCGGACTCCAGTCTGCATTCAGTCCTCCAAAGTAGCAGTGCGTGGTCTCTTGGTTTCACGTCAGGGATGATCTGAAGCTCCTTCATCGCCCGTCGAAGAATGCGGCAGGAAAGCGAAATCGGGAGCGCGCCCGCAGGAATGATAAGATGGGCTGGGTTGCTGGTCTTGTTCGGCTCCGCGCCATAGTAGGTTGGGCCCGTTGGATAGAAGCTGTCAAGCACGGACATGTTCTCCACGTGTAATAACTTCCAGACCCCATCAGAAACTTCATTCTCAATCGCTCTTCCGTACGGTCCCACGCGATGGCCATCTGAGGTCTGGCTGGGAAACCCTTGACCTATCTTGCGCACCCCGAACTGGCAGTTGGAGTCGACACCTATCACGACCAGCAATCGGTGGCGTGCTTCGTGGACCGAACGGTGGAGCCAGTCCGTCACCCTCTTGCATGTCCGCCTCCATACTTCCAATTTCACGTTGCCAGGCGGTGGATAGCAGGCCGTGAAGAGGGTCATGTCGTAGGTGCCGCTGCGAATGCGGACCCGAGGCTCTCGTGGACCGTCTGGAAGCCATCTACGGCTCTCTTGAGGCCATCTTGGTGCCCTCTTCGGCCGTTTGGAGGCCCTCTCGGGCCGTCTCGGGGACCTTGGGCCGCGCCACTCGAACAAATGCTAGGAAACGGGCCATGGGGGCCGCCCGGGAGCCGCTTCACTCGAAGAACTACCGGGCCTCGCCCCTCCCCTGGGAAGGGCTTCGCCCCACCAAATCCGCCGACCCCTTGTGGGTCTCTAGGCGTGTGAGATAGTTTCCCCCCCCATTTGCCCCCCCCCCAGGGATCCCAGACCGGAGATTCGACCCCACCCCCTCGCCGACGACGGGCGACACGCGGAGCTCTTCTGGGCCCAGAAGGGGCTCAACACAGGCCAAAAAGGCCCCAAGACGCCTCCAACGCGGCCCTCGAGGGTCCCGACACGCCAAACGAACACTCCAAGACGCCCACGATGGCCCAAAGACGAACAAAGAGGCCCCCCCCGGGCCCGGCACGAGCGCATCACGGGACTTTTCCGGGTCAAGAGGGCCTAAACACGGGCCAAAAAGGCCCCAAGAAACCTCCAAGACGGCCCACGAGAACTCCGAGACGCCAAACGACCTCTCCGACTTCGGTAGTCTTTTCTTGCACGCGCCGCTCCTGTCGCCATTTGATGATTCCCCACCTGTTGCTGATGCAAATGTTTCGTGTCCGAGAACGCTCCTCCGCACGCCGCGCACGTCGCGTCGCACCTCGTTCTCTCGCCCCTCCGCGCATTTCCGACAAAGCCTCCCCCCCGATGAATTGTGCTTCTTCTGTGCACCCAACATTTCCGCCTGCTCTTTCAACAGCGTCAGACATGTCTTACTCGAACGCATTTAAGGGGCCGGCGGATGTGGCGCAAGCCTGAAGAATGGTAAACAGGGCACGAAGAATCGTCAATAGACCATGTTTCTACTACTCTCGAATCTCCCTCCTGTAGAGGAGCATGCCCGACATAAGCCTTTCCCCCCCCCTACTGTCGCCCCTGATCCGAGCAGTGTTCGGGCCATCACTCGGGCCTCGAGCGACTGTTCGGGAAGATTCCGGCACCCCTGGATCGTTTTCGACGAGGCGCAGCTGACGAAACCACCCAGGGCCTAGAAGACCCAACACACTTCCCGAACACTTTACAACACTGTCTGCTGCTGCTCCTCTTCCTCATCATCCTGAGATCCTTCGATATCGGTCGGCTCTGGGCCATTGGCAGCGTTCAGTCGTTCTCTAGCGGCATCGCAGCCTTGCGCGGTGGCGCCAAGCGCAGCGTGGGAGCGCCGATCCAAGAGATCCGCGCGACCTCCGAACCAGTGCTTTTGAGCAGGGACCGACCGTCCCGGCATTCCTATAGGCCTACCACGACATGTTCTTAGAACCCAGCAATGTTTTTAAAACAAAGCAGTCCCAGCCAGAAATGCTCTAAAAACATTTCTGGGAAACCACCAAAGGTTCTCAGAACCAGGACGCTCGGCCACTGCTTGATGCTTGTGTTGTCTCTTGATCTTCAGCTCCATATCGAACGCCCGGGCCGGCGCCCAATGCCGCACCGAGGAGGCACAAATGCTGCCGTTCGGTCACGGGGGCTGGGCGCGGGCAAACAAAACTTGTGTCTATGTGTCCCGTGAGACAGGAGTGACCGACGAGCCCCGACGGACCTCGGGCGGCTCCTCCTCCGCCTTCGGCGGCTTGCCGGCGACCGCGTCCATGGCCTGGGGCACTGCTGATCACTCGTGTGCCTGCTCCTCGCAGGCCCTCCTCGTGTGCTGCCTCCCCAGCCTCCTCGTCCAGCTCTCTCGCTTCCCCCTTCTCCTGCTTCCACTGCCTCCTTCTGTCTCCCCAATCCCCGCTCCCCCCTCCCCTGTCCTCCCCCTGCTCTCTTCATCCCCTGCTCTCCTTCACACGTTTTCGTCCCTCATGCAGATTTGCCTCCTCGCTACTCTCCACCTTACCAGTCCGCCCCCCTCCCAACCCCTCCAATTGGTCACTTCCCTCTCACCCTGTGAGGGGCAACGATAGGGGGTGACTGGCATAGGGGGCGATGCATCGACCTGGAGTCGGCGATACAACGCCGATAAATCTGCGATAAGCCTGCGATCGTGAATCCGCACCTTCCTGGGCAGATTGGGGCTATCGGGCCCCTATCGGCGATCAATGGGCGATTGAGGGTCGATGCATCCCCCCCTATGCCTATCCCCCCCTATCGTTGCTCTCGGCCCTGTCTCCCCTCCCTCATCCTCCACTCCCTCCCCTTTCATCCCCTTGCGCACGCAGCTGACACCCAAGAGACCCCCACGAACATCACGAACAACAACTCCTGAGGTCACCCCTCTGTTCCGCCAGTCACCCGGACGGCGACGCGGTGCCCCTCAGGACTGCCGGTCTGGCTCGCACGCCTGACCAGCCCTGGCCAGACTCGAGGCTGAGGCTGAAGCAGACTGAGGCTGAGGCTGAGGCAGGCTGAGGCTGAGGCTGAAGCAGGCTGATGCTGAGGCAGGCTGAGGCTGAGGCTGAGGCTGATGCAGGCTGAGGCTGAGGCAGGCTGAGGCTGAGGGCTGAAGGCAGACTGAGGCTGAGGCTGCAGGCTGAGGCTGAGGCTGAGGCTGAGGCTGCAGGCTGAGGCAGGCTGAGGCTGAGGCTGAGGCTGATGCAGGCTGAGGCTGCAGGCTGAGGCTGAGGCCGAGGCTGAGGGCTGAGGCTGAGGCTGCAGGCTGAGGCTGAGGCTGAGGCTGAGGCTGAGGCTGAGGCTGAGGCTGAGGCTGAGGCTGAGGCAGGCTGGCTGAGGCTGAGGCTGGCTGAGGCAGGCTGAGGCTGAGGCTGAGGCTGAAAGGCAGACTGAGGCTGAGGCTGAAGCAGGCTGAGGCTGAGGCTGAGGCAGGCTGAGGCTGAGGCAGGCTGAGGCTGAGGCTGAGGCAGGCTGAGGCTGAGGCTGTGACTGCGACTGCCGTTGCCGCTGCGACTGTCATCGCGAATGCGACTACGACTGCGAGAACAGCAGAATTCGACAACTGGATTTTCATCTGAATCTTAAGGGGAATGCTTTCAGATATGCTTCTACACATCGCTGTTAGGTTGCTTTGCCGGGATAATTTGAATATTCACCCTGTAGAGAGACAGGCCCGACTTAAGACTAGCTTTGAGATCGTGACCCCTCCCGCCCCGCACACCGCACAGACCACACCACGCCTCGGATTACCCCCGCGAGAGAAAAAGGGAAGGCTTTGTGGCCGGTGGGTCCCGCCCTGGCTACAGTCGTGATCGCAACATCGGCTCGACTCTCGACCACCGCAACCAGCAGGGGGAAGGAAAGACATGCAGCAACGCGGTACAGGGCCCCTGGCGTTTCTGCTACTTGGTTTTGAGTCGGGCGTGTCCCCCTACAGGCGGATTTGGACGAAACGCACACTTTAAAAACATTCGCAACAAAAACACAAACAATAATAAAAACATCCTCCCCAGGATATGTTAGACTATTTTTGGGATATTAATCGCTTCGCTCATTCCGCCGGCCCTGGAGCCCTCTTTAGGGCCTCTTGAGGGCCATGGGGACCTCTTGGGAGTCTCTTGGGGCTCCTTGGCGGCGTCTTGGGGGCCCCCAGGGCCTCTTGGGGGGCTTTTGGGGGCCTCTTGGGGCGGGTAGTCGATTGCGGCCCCCCCTCGGAGGCCACGATCCTTGTGAGGGGTGTCGAAAAATTGCCCTCCCCTGGAGTGCTCTGGTGGCTTCTCCCGGGACCTTGCCAGGGTACTTTTCGTCCGGGGGCCCCCAGGGGCCGCTCCGCGCGCGCGAAGTAGAAATATGGTTAACCAGTTACCGGAGATCTTAGCACGCCTCTGGCCCGTTGGGCTTGCGAACTCCTCCTGTAGAGGGACAGGCCCGACTCAACACTTGGTGGGGGAACATGCAGACGAGCGGGGTCGGTCATCGGAGGCCCGCACATGCCGACCCGCCGAGTGAGAGTGCGCACGACACAGCACTGGGCCTCGAGAAGCACTCGCGGTGCAATGGGTTTGCTCAGCGTAGCGTCCGCAGGATCGTTTAAAACAGGGCTAGGATCGGGATAAATCGCTCCAGAGCGTTCCGGAGCGCTCTCAGAGCGTTCTGGAACGCTCTGGAGCGGCCGCGGCGCCCAATACATCCTCCAAGCCCGCCGATTCTCAGAGATTCGAGTTATCCCGATCCGATTTTGTCCCGATCTTCGCGTCGTTTTATCGTTACCCACGCGAGCACGAGCAGAGATGCGACCGGCCTCGAGGTTGGCTCGGTGTGCGCCTCCACTCTGTGAAGGCGCGGCTGCTCGAGCCCGCCCCTGTCAGAGGTGGCGCGCCAAACCAGTGTCCATGTCTCCGCCCGGGCTGCCTTGGCCGAACGAGGGTGCAAAAGACCACGGGACCGAACGCCGTCAAAAGCAAACGCCGAGCAGGTCCAAACAAACGCGTCGGGGAGGGCTCCTTGGAGGCTCCAAACAGCCAGAGCTCCTCAAGAGGAGGTGGAGGCGGAGGAGCAGGCAGCGGCTCCAGCAGCCTTCCGGCACACAGGAGGACGAGTGGGTTGCCTGAGGCTTGCATCACACCCCCTGTGCACGCTTGAGGTTTACACTCGAGCTCCGATGAGTCTTGGTGCCCTGGACAGCGCCCTGGACAGCCGAGGGAAGTCTGCGCAACAGAGTGCCATGAACAGTCTGCCCAAGCGATACGTCTGCTCTCCCGAGACCCCCAGACGATACTGCCTGTCGTGCAGCCACTGGCCGCCTGCAAACTCCGCTGACGACGTAGGCTCGTTCATGGGCCTTTCGCTTGGCCAGGCCGGCCTTGACAGGAACCCCAAAACATGGGCCTTGTCAGATGCCAAAACACTCGGGGCCTGGAGGTGCTCAGGCACCTCATAACCCGCCACCAACCATCAACGATGAACTCGAGCGCGCGCTCGACCGTCCTGGGAAACAAATGATCTTGGAAGGTTTAGGAGCACTCCCCCCAAAACACTCCAAAAACCTTCCTCTGAAAGGTGTTCGGAAGGCTTCAGGACGGATCCTGCAGAAAAACCTTTCAAAAGCTTTCCGGAGGTGTTGCATCGTTTTTGAATGATTTTAGAAGGAAGCCTCAAAACACCTTCTCAAAACCTTCCGGGTGAAGGTACTCAGCCGAGAAATTGCCGACGGCTGGATGCTACCCATCGAACCCGTTCATCACAATGATGCCGAACCCATCGGGCCGTGGCCACGGCGCTAGAGAGAAGGCCCACGCACGGCTTGCCATGGCGAGCCGTGCTGACTGAATGCGCCACGCACCTGCACGCCCATCCCTCCCGAACCCCCGAGGAACCCGACCGTCCCAAAGAGCAGATGCGAGACGAGAGGAGCAATGCGTGATACTCCCAAAAGCTGCAAAAGCAAAGTGAGAGATCGGCCGCCAGTGAGCTTCTGACACTGAACGCTGGCCTACTGAGATCGAGCCTCCTCGAGCTCTCGGCCGTTGCCACCTAGTAGATCCGATCCGTAAGAGGTGGAGGCCTGGACGGCTCCGCTTTCTCCCCCTCCTCCTCCTCCTCCTCCTCCTCCTCCTCCTCCTCCTCCTCCTCCTCCTCCACCCTCCTGTACAATTACTCAATATGAATACTACTCCCCCTCTTCCCTGATGACGTTTTGGGAATATTCGTTCCCCCCCCCCCCCCGCGTACTGTTCTTTTACACGCAGGTTTCCCCGGAATTGGGTTTTCGCCTGCATTTTGTCCGAAATGCTGCTCTCGCTGAGGAGCTGGCCCCATTTTCGGGCCCCGCTCGTTCCGAATCGTGCTCCCGCTGCAGCGCTGGCATCATTTCCGCCGGCGCCCAGGCTGCACGCCCGAGCCGGCGCCCGGGCCGGCGCTCGGGCCGGGTCCGGAGCCGGTTCCGGCCGGCGCCGGAAAATCGAGTCCCGAGGCGGCGCCGAAAAAAGGCCATTCTAATACACATCTTTCTTTTGAAAATGCTGAATTTCTGCTTCCGGCGCCCGGGAGAGGCCTCCCGGGCAGATTCCGAGGCCGGCGCGCCGGAAAATCGAGTTCCGAGGCGGCGCCGAAAAAAAGGCCATTCCAATACCATTTTTTCTTTTGAAAATGTTGCATTTCTGCTTCTGGCGCCCGGAAGCTTTCCCCGGAGTTCGGCTTTCGTTTGCAATTTGTCCCAAAATGCTGCTCTCGCTGAGGCGCCGGCCTCATTTTCGGGCCCCGCTCGTTCCGAATCGTGCTCTGGCTGCAGCGCTGGCCTCATTTCCGTGCTTCCGCTCGTTCCGAATCGCGTTCCCGCTGCAGCGCTGGCCTCATTTCCGCGCTTCCGCTCGGTTCGACTCGTGCTCCCGCTGCAGCGCTGGCGTCATTTCCCCTGCCATGCCACGGCATGCAATGCAATGCTAGGTTGATAGTACGCTTCGCGGTGCTCTTCTACGCCATGCCACGCCGTGCTCTACAATGCATCGCGTACCCTTTCGGGATCATGGCCCTGCTTGACATCCGACTGTGCGAGTAGAGCGGGGGTCTGCGCCATGGTAAGGGATGGGAGGGGGGGTAGGATGTCAGATATGACGCAAGCCCCCTCTACATTCCCGCAGTCGCCTCTTCACTCCTCCGTGACCCCGCCTCCTCCTCCTGCTCCCCCCCATCCCCTAGCTGCGGTGCGCGACACTCGCTTGCCTTCGCGCCACTGCACTGGGGGGTGACCTGCAGGTCCGTCTCTCCATCCTTCCTCCACATTCCCCCCTGCTTCCTTCGGAGCAGGGCGTGTTGAGACACGGGCAACTCAAAATCTGTTCCCAGACTTCATCCTGGGGTCCAAACGCGCCAAGTTTCGTTGGCGAGCTCTGGCGGAAAACATATACGTACCTATTCGACCACACTTCGGGGGGGTTGGGGAAAAGAGGGAATAACCAAGTGCCGGCAACTGCGATGGGTGTGACGATAACGACGCTGGTGACGCGCCCTCCGCTCGATCTCACATTCGAGCCCACAATCGATCTCACTATCGATCTCACTGTCGATATCGAAATCGTTCGCACTATCGATCTCACTGTCGAGTGCACTATCGATGCAACTATCGATATCACTGTCGATATCTTTACCGCTCGCACGATCGATGCAACTACCGATCTCACTATCGACCTCAAGGTCGATCGAACGATCGATATCACTAACGATCTCACCACATCTCGGTCGATTTCGATTCAGCTCGCGGGTGATGGGGGGTCATGCATATGGGGGTTTGCGCACGTATCCCAAACGACGCAATCGGAAACGGAGGCCCTGCTCGCAACGCGTGCGACGCTCGGCATGCCCGCAGGATGTCTGACGGTGGCTCTCCCAAGCTCGTTCAGTCTGTGCACCGCAACAACGCCACCTGGTCAGACATCTGGATGCGCGAAACTGGCTGGCGGCCAAAAGCTGTAATGCATGAGAAAGTGGTCCAAGAGTGCCCCCAGACTGCCCCAGTGGGCAAAACAATGGCTCGAATGTGTCCTTAAAGGGATCCTGCGTTGAACGGGCAGTTTTTGCGGCGCGGCGACCGCGTGGCCAGGGCGTCCCGCTGCAGGGGTCGTTCGGCCGTCCGCGCCACGGCGCCCAACTCCGCAAAACAAAATGCCCTGGCACGCAAACTCCAACATTTTGTGTCGCCCCTGCGCCGCCCCGCGCGATCATTCGCGGCAATGCTGCAGTGCACGGAATGCAGGAAACCGAAAAAACTGCATCCATTTTTTCCTGCGCGCCGCGGCCGCGCGCGCGGCCCTCGTGCGGACGCGTGGTCAGACACGAGCTCTCTTGAGCCCAAATAAATCAAGGGGCCCAAGGACACACAAATAAATACGTCCCCAATGGGGGTCGGGGGTCCGGGGGGGTGGGGTGGAGGGGTCCCGGGGGGGTGGGTGGGGGGGGGGGGTGGGGGGGGCAGATTCGTTTTTCCTCGGGCGGCCTAGAAACCTCGAAAACACTCCAAATGAGGTCCGAATGCCCAAGATGGCCCCCGAGACGGCCCAAGAGGGCCCCGAGTCGCCCAAAGATCTGCCGCAAACGCCCAAGACAGCCCCAAGACCGTCCAAGAAGCCTCCAAGACGTCCCAGGCCCCCTCCAAGAGACCCCCAGGAAGCCCCAAGAGGCCCCCACGAGGCTTCCAAGCGGCCCTAAGACCTTCCCAAAAGGCCCACAAACTACCCCCAAGAGGCCCCCAAGAGCGCTCGTCGTCGTCGTCGTCGTCGTCGTCGTCGTCGTCGTCGCCATTCAGGGTCGGCGGCACCGGCCGTAAGGCCTCCGCAATACACACAAATAAAAATGTTCCCCATATTTTCGCATACTTTCTGGGCTTTCTGTCTTCCCCCCCACTTCCAATATTTTCCTATATTTTCCTGGGACTCGACGATTAATTGTGTCTGTGTGTTTTTTCCCTCCCGAATAAAACTCACCGCGGCGTTCACCACGCAGCGAAAGGCGGGCTGGACAGCGGCGCCGAGGATTTACAACAAGGTGCCGTGCAGCAAACGGCCCCTTGAGCGTGCGGAAAGGGTGCTTTCTTGATCCCCCATTGGCGTGACCCCCCCTCACCGGCGACCCGATCGACCTCACCATCGACCTCACTATCGCTCGGGACACGATCGGGACACCAAGGCGGGACACCGCGGGACACCGCAGGAGACCACTCGGGACACCACTCGGGACACCACGGGCACACCACTGGCACACCGCGGGACACCACCGGACACCACCGGACACCAAAGGACACCACGAGACACCATCGGGACACCACGGCGGGACACCGCGGGACACCGCCGGGACCACGCGGAGCACCCCGGCGCGGGACACGCCCGGCCACCGCGCGCCCACCGCGGGGTCCGACCTCTGCCTCCGCACCGCCCGAGCGACCGCGGGCTCACTCTCCTCGCCCGCGGGCCAGGGGGAGGGGGGGGGGGCTTCTCAGGAGGGGGCTTCTCAGAAGGCGCCGGGCCTACATCTAGAAAGAAGGCCCGCGCCTTCTATAGAAGAAGAAGAAGAAGAGGAAGAAGAAGAAGAAGAAGAAGAAGAAACCACATAAACATAAACTTTTGGCGCTCCGCGCGGACTTCTTGGATTCGCGCTGGACCCTCCTTCCCTGGCGCGCGGAGCGCGCCGGGGGTGGCGCCGGAGGCGCCGCCGGGGGGCCCAGACGCGGATCCAAGAAATCCGCGCGGAACGCCAAAGTTTGTGCTTATGTGGTTTAAAATTTCCGATTATCAGAATCGGGGGCGCGCAAACATGGATTAGCGATCCATGGATTTGGCGCGCGGTCGCCTAATCCATGGATGGGGGGGGAGGTGCCCTCCCCAAAATGCGGACGGTGGTGCCTCGCTCGGCGGCGGCAATCCGCGATCTCCCATGGAAACGGGGCCCGTCGCAACTCCACGCCCCCTTGATCCATGCCTGCGATCGCCCGAAAGAAGCAGGGGCGCTTCTCAGAAGTCTTCCCCTCTCCCCCTGCCCCCCTCTGTCGGCGGTGGACAGACCTCCCTTGAGTAAACCTCCCCTTGGTGAAAACGACCCAGGGCCGAAACCGACGGACCTGGACCCGCAAACATGACGGCCGCGACGCCCTCTCGCGAAGCGAGAACGGCCAATTCACTAATCGACGTGTCTGGGTACTCCAGATTTCGGCGACGGAGGCCCGCGCCCGCTCAGGAGGAGGAGGAGGAGGAGGAGAAGGAGGGAGGAGGGAGGAGGGAGGAGGAGGGAGGAGGGAGGAGGGAGGAGGAGGAGGAGGGAGGAGGAGGAGGAGGAGGAGGAGGAGATGGAGGAGGAGGAGGGTAGGAGGTCTGCCCACCTCCGACCTCTGCGCGTGGCCGATCACCCACCCAGCCTCCGGCCCACGGCCTCGCGGGCCGGGCTCCTGGGCCGCGGCCCCGCGGACACGGGGGGGATGCCTCCTCGCGGAGGCCCCGCGCGGAGACCGCCCCCGTGCGGCCGCGCGCTCTCTGCGGGCTCGCGGCCCTCCTCGGGGCCCAGCCCGCAGGGGCGCGGGTACCGATCTGCACGGTCGCGGGTCGCGGAGCTGTCCGAGCTCCGTCCAGCCGTAGCGACGAAAGAGCGGCGCCGGGGCACCGGGCGCCGAGGAGCGGCGCCGCTCCCGCAGAGCGCCAGGCGCCATGGTCTCAGCTGGCCCTACTCTGCTTCCCGTACTCCGCTGCCTCCCTGCCCCCTCGGCCCCGCCGCTTGCACGGCGGGGGCCCGTCAAGGACTCGGGGATGGCCAGGGCCCCCCCCCCGTCGACTGAGGGCTGACGGGGAGGTCGGTGCCGCCAGATGGAAGGGGTATGCGTACACGGGCGACCATCCCCCAGGATTGGCGGAGGTGGGGCAGCCCTGGCGTTCGCAGTTCCCTGCGTCTCGTCATCAGGGCCCGCTTTTGGCCCAAACTGCAGCCCCTGCAAAGCCCACCTCGGCTGCCGCTCCCCATAGGGGCGGCACCCGCCCGGCAACGACGAGCTGTGACTCGCGGTTTCGAGCAGGATTGAACAGATGGGCTCGGGAGACCACAACGCATCTAGCAGAAAAAAACGCCATGAACATAAACTTGTGGCGCTCCGCCCGGACCTCTTGGATCTGCGCTGGACCCCCCCTTCCCTGGCGCGCGGAGCGCGCTAGGGGCGGCGCAGGAGGCGCCGCCGGGGGGGGGTCCAGCGCAGATCCAAGAAACCCGCGCGGAGCGCCAACAGTTTATGTTCATGGCGTTGCTTTTCCCTCCTCGAGCATCGCCGATACATCGCCAATACATCGGCGATGCATCGGCGACGTCGGCACCCCTCCTGCGCACCTCTCCTCTCCCCCGCGGGGGAGCACGGCCTGCGCCGCCACGTAGCCGAGGAGGCCGAGGCCGAGCAGCTTAGAAAAGAGGCTGCCGGCGGCGACGAGCACCCCGGCCTTGGCGACCTTCGGGGGGAGCACACGCCGTCGTCGTCGTCGTCGTCGTCGTCGTCGTCGTCGTCGTCGTCGTCGTCGTCGTCGTCGTCGTCAGCATCGTCGTCTCCGTCGTCGTCGTCGGCGGCGTCGTGGTCGGCGTCGTCGGCGTCGCCGTGGTCGTGGCGAGCCGCTCGGCACCTGCGCATACTCTGTGTTTCGAGGGCGGGCCACGCGCCTCGTCGCCCCGGCCGTGGGGGATGAGGCGAACGCGGAGGTGAGGGAGGAGTAGGACCAGGTCGGACCAGGAGGGGGGAGACGAAGGATGAGAAGAAGGGAGATGCGCTATCAAGGCTGCTGCTGGTGGTGATGATGGTGATGACGATGATGATGGTGGTGATGATAATGCTGATGATGATGCTGATGTTGATAATGGTGATGGTGATGACGATGTTGATGATGATGCTGATGATGATGATGCTGATGGTGATGATGATGATGATGATGATGATGATGATGATGATGATGATGATGATGATGATGATGATGATGATGATGATGGTGGTGGTGGTGGTGGTGGTGGTGAAGATGATGACGATGATGATGAGGATGCCGATGCTGATGCTGATGATGCTGCTGGTGGCGCTATTACTGTTGATGTTGATGTTGTTGCTGTTGTTGATGATGGTGATGATGATGATGATGCTGATGGTGATGGTGATGGTGATGGTGATGGTGATGATGATGATGATGATGATGATGATGATAATGATGATGATGATGATGATGATGATGATGATGATGATGATGATGATGATGATGATGATGATGATGCTGGCGATGGCGACGACGACGAGGAGGATGAGGAGGCGAAGGAGAAATACTGGGGAACGGGGACGACGAAGCGAAGGGTGGTTATGGGGAGGAAACGGATGTGGATGAGGAGGACGAGGTGGAGGCGAAGGTTGAGGTGGAGGAGAAGGTTGATAAGTTTAATGATCAGGAGGGGGTTGGAGGAGGAGAGAGATGTGAAGGTCGATGATGAGGAGCAGGCGAGGAAGAAGGATGAAGGGGAGGAGGACAATGGCGCGAAACCAATCAATCTGTCAACAAGGAGTCAAGAGCGGAGCAGGGGGCGAAGATGGGGGGGAGGAGGTAGATGTGGAGGTGAAGGAGTAGGGCCAGGAGGGGGGAGGCACAGGACAAGGAACGAGATGCGAGGGTTGATGATAAGGCCACAAATGAAAAGGATGAGGGGGAGGAGGAGGACGAAACGATGAATGACCCTAGCGAGGCGGCGATGGAGGCGATAGCCGAGGCGGAGGAGTCGAAGGCGGAGCTCCTCCTCCTCCTCCTCCTCCTCCTCCTCCTCCTCTGCCAAATCCCCCTGCTGCTGCCCCTCCTGCACCGTCATCCGCCCCCTGCCCCTCCATCCCGCCTCGTCCTCCGCCTCTCCCTGCTGCTCCTCGCTCTCCCGTGGGCCCTCTGCCCGCGCTCGGCCTGCGCCGACCCCGACTCCCCATGCATCCCCGGCTGCTCCTCTGACCCGCACCCCGAAGAAGCTCTCCCCACACTTCTTTGAAGGGACCCTGGGACACACACACATAAATACACACAAATAAAAGTGTTCCCCATATTTTCTGGGTTGTTGTCTTCCCCTCCACTTCCCATATTTTCCCGTATTTTCTGGGGAACCGAAGATGAATGGTGTCCGTGTGCTTTTGTTCCCCTCCTGATTCTCCCCCTCGTCCTGCAGCCAGCCGCCGTGCAAAACCCGAGGGAGCGCGAGCTGAGGCACAGGTGGGACTCTCCCTCGCCACGGCGAGCCCCGGCCACGGGCAGGCCCCCGACCCGGACCCGGAGAACGGCTCCGAGGCCGGAGCCCCTCCTGAGCCCAAAGGTGGTCCCTCCTCCTCCTCCTCCTCCTCCTCCTCCTCCTCCTCCTCTTCCTCCTCCTCCTCCTCCTCCTCCTCCTCCCTCCTCCCTCCTCCTCGTCCCTCGTCCCTCCTCCCTCCTCCCTCCTCCCTCCGCCCTCCTCCCTCCGCCCTTCTCCCTTCTCCTGGCTGTCCCTTCTCCTGGCTGCTCCGAAAGCACTCCTCCCTCGGCCAACCGACACCCACCACCCCCACAAAAAAAAGCAGCATCGCAACCAATCACGACCAGAACTCTAGAGCCCATCATGCTGCAGGAACTTCTCGAGCCAGAACGATATGTGAAAGTCCTGAGGCCAGGAAAAAACACGAACGCGCGTTGTGGAATAATTGCGACGCCGGGATCTCACGGAATCCACCACCTAGGTAGAGGAAAACAATTACTCCGACGGAAGGACCCCACATGAGAATCCTCTGCGCGAATCTGGAAAAAGCCCTCACCGTCGTCCTCGTGGTTGGTGAGGCGTCCTGGCTGTCTCTTCTGCGTATATTTCTTCTCGCCCTGGCGCCGGCCCTCCCCCCGCTCCCTGCGTTGCCCCCGACCTCGCCCTTCTGTTTTGGCTCTGGACATTCAGAAAGTGGCCCGGGAGTGGTGTTCTGGGAACACGAAGAAAACGAAGTGGCCTACAGTTGGCTCCGGGCATTCAAAATGTGGCCCGGGAATTGTGTTCTGGGAGCACGAAGATCACGAAGTGGCCTACAGTTGGCTCCGGGCATTCAAAATGTGGCCTGGGAATGGCGTTCTGGCAGCGCGAAGAGCCCAAAAGTGGCGACAGTTACAGGAATTGGATGACCCGCTCGGATTAGTAACATGATCCGCGGGCCCCATAGGGAGGGGGCTCCCGCTTGAGACTTCCTCGCAATTCAATCACAAATGTGGCCTGGGAATGGCGTTCTGGCAGCGCGAGAGCCCAAAAGTGGCGACTGTTAAAGGAATTGGATGACCCGCTCGGATTAGTAACATGATCCGCGGGCCCCATAGGGAGGGGGCTCCCGCTTGAGACTTCCCTGCAATTCACTCACAGACGAGGCCCAAGGCGAGTGAGTGAGTGAGTGACTGACTGACTGACTGACTGGTGATGATGATGATGATGATGATGATGATGATGATGATGATGATGATGATCATCATCATCATCACACTCTCTCACGCGCACACTCATCATCATCATCATCATCATCATCATCATCATCATCAGCATCATCATATGTGAGTTCATGAGCGCGTGAGTGAGTGAGTGCTGATGAGTCAGTGAGTGAGTGAGTGAGTGAGTGAGAGAGTGAGTGAGTGAGTGAGCTAGTGAGTGAGTGAGTGAGCGCGCGAAGACAGAAGAGGAGAGGGGGTGAGGTGAGGAGGTTCCTGCGCGGGGTGTCCAGAGAAAATGAGTGATGATGATGATGGTGGGTTCCTTTTCCTGCGCGGGGTGTCCAGAGAAAACAAGAACCCCACTTTGGATGTGGGGCAAAAGTGCATAAACATAATTCCTCTGAGGACCGCGCGGACTCTCGGATCTGCGCCATGGGCGGCACCAGAGGCGCCGCCAGGGGGGGCCCAGCGCCGATCCAATAAATCCGCGCGGACCCCAGAGAAAATATGGTTATGCTGATTTTGTCCTTCGGCTCAACGAATCCACCCACCTGGTGAAAAAAAGACGCTGATGTGTCGCGGCACAGAGTCGTGCAACAACCCTAGCACTAAGCGTAGCAAACGCCATGCGAACATCTGATACAGAAGCTGCTGTTTCGATGCCAGGTGCCTCGGCAACCGAGGAAATCATGAGCGCGGAAAATCGGCGGTGGACAAACCTCCCTTGAGTAAACCTCCCCCTAGTGAAAACGGCCGGGGACCGAAACCGACGGACCTGGACCCGCAAAAATGACGGCCGCGACGCCCTCTCGCGAACCGAAAACGGCCAATTCACTACTCGACGTGTCAGGGTAGGAGGTCCATCCACCTCCGAGAAAACGAGGAGGATGAGGATGGGAACGCCGGCACGACGCATGGCACGCGGTGGCCCACGCGGGCCGCCAGCGTGGCACGCTGCACTCGAAAAAGAGGGGGCGCCCACGCGCCACCTCACGCGGGCAACGTGCGCGCACCTGCCGGCACACAATCGACGCCGTGCTTCCGCGGTGCCCCCCTGGGAGGAGAGAGACCGTGCGGGGGCCGCGGGGCGCCGGGTGCTTCGGCCGCCCAGGAAGCCGAGCAGAGAGGCAAGAACAAAAATGAGCACGGGGGAAGAAGAGGCGTGGGATCATTTGGGCGCCCGAAGAGGGGTTCGGGAAGAGTGGGCACGTACGATGCCCAACAAATGGGCGACGAAAAGGAACGGGCCTCACGCGAGATGGCATGGCGACATGACGCGGTAGCTCACGCGGGCCGCCGGCGCGACGCGCCGCACTGGAAGCGGGAGCGCTCCCGCGCGACTTTTTACGCGGGAAGCCTACGCGCCACTGCTGGCGCGACCCGCCCCGTTTTCTGCCGTCGGTCAACTACAATTATCGGCCTGACCTAAGGAACGATAAATAAGGAACGAAGCCCCTTTTTTGCCCAAGGAATACCGCATGAAGAACGGTAAATAATGTATAGCGCATAAGAAACGACACATAACACATGAAAACCTAAGGAACGACCGAGCCCTTCTTGAAAAGTAAGTGTTCCTTATTCAAGCCGCTCGCTGTATTGTCCAAAACCGACAGCGGCCGCTGTTGGGCAGGCGGCCCTCCGTCTCAAATGGACAACGCCTGCGGCGGCGCCGATAGCGAGGCCTGTTCAAATTGACAGCCCTGGGATCCGACGTGACAGAAAAAATGCCGCATCGCAGCACAATCATGACCGGAGCTCCAGGCCACTTCCTTCTGCGTCATCTTTCGAGCGGACCGATCTGTGAGGGTCCGGGGCCCGAAATTGAGCGAAGACGCCCGTCGTGCAGAAACTGCAACGCCAGAGTCTGAGGGCAGAGCTGCTGTCGGTCTTTGCCTCCTTTGTTGTTCGGGAGCATTCCGCTCGTGCCGACGGGAGGGGGGCTGCACGGTTTCCTCCGGGGCCGTAGGCGACCCGAGGAGGAGGAGGTGGAGGGGGGGGGAGGGGGAGGAGGACATTGAGGAGGAGCAGGAGGAGGAGAAGGAGGCGGAGGAGGAGCAGGAGGAGGGAGGAAGAGTAGGAGTAGGAGCAGGAGCAGGAGGAGGAGGAGGAGAAGGAAAGACGAGGAGGAGGAGGACGGGTCGCCTAAGCCCTTCGGAGAAACCCTCCAAGGGGGCGCGGGTCCAGAGGAGATGGGGCCCCGGCCTTCAGCCCGGCCGCCGTCCCCGCCGTCCCGGCCGCGGCATCGGTGCCGCCGCTGAGGCCCACCGCCCCGCGCGCGCCCTCCCACCAGAGGGGAGCGTCGTCGGGAACGGGCACGTCCTGCGAGGGGCCAGGCAATGCGCGTCCAAGAACGGCAGAACCCTCCGGGGCCAAGCACAGCAGACGTTTGAGCGGCCCCGGGTCGCCAGAGCAGCGTCTGTCGACTCCCCGCGCGAATCGTGCACAGCAGGCAGCCCAAACCGAAACGTCGACCGGGGTTCCGACAGGGGAAGAGTAACAAATCGTTCGCCGTCGGGAGCGCTGTTCCCTCCCACCACCCAAGGAGGACCCCCCCCTGGCAAGGTCTGTCTGGCGGGGCTTTTTACTCTAATGAGGGACCGCCCCTCACTCCACTGGCAGACTCTTGCGTTCATCGCCCCTCCTTTTCCGAGGCCTCTTCCCTCGTGCCCGCTCGTGGATGGTGCACTTCCAGCATGGCAGCTCATGCCTTAACCCCCATTCCACGCGTGCCCGCTCGAGGATGGTGCACTTCCCGGATGGCAGCTAATGCCTGAACCCTCATGCCATGCGCGCCCGCTCGAGGATTGTGCACTTCCCGCATGGCTGCTAACTCATAGACCCCTCATCCCACGCGCACACGCTCGAGGATCGTGCACTTCCCGCAATCCCAGGCGCTGCTCCCAAGCGCTCCAGGGCCTCCCAAGCCACGATCCCTCGTTAAACAGTGGATATGCGTCCCGACCTTAATTATAAGACAGACCGTGCAAGCAAATGAGGACACCAAGATGGCCCAAGATGCCTCGAAGACGGCCAAAGATGGCCCCAAGGCGGCCGAGTATTGATTCAAGGAGGCCCAAGATGCCTCCTAGAGGGCCCAAAATGGCAACAAGAGGACCTCCAACGCGGTCAGAAGAGGCCAACATCATGTATTGTCCTTCGGGCTGCTCGCTTCTTCGGGCTGCCGTCAGCTCAAGACGGCCCAGGAAGACTTCACGATGGCCCAAGAGACATCCAAGACGACCCCAAGACGGCCCAAGAGGGCCTCCCGTGGGACACAAGACGGCCTTAGAAGCCCAAGACGGCGCCAAGATGGCCTCACGACGGTCACAGACATCCACGATACGGCCCAAGGGGCCCCACGACGGCCCAATAGAGCCCCATGCCGGCGTAAGCGGACCGCAAGACGGCCCAAGAGGGTCTCCAGGGGCCCCCAAGACTGCCTCACGGGAGGCCAAGACAGCCCTAAGACGGTCCAAAGAAGTTCCGTTATCATCATCATCACCATCATCATCATCAGCAGCAGCATCAGCATCGGCATGAGCATCAGCATCAGCATCATCATCAGCTTCAGCATCATCGTCGCGATCGTCATCGTCATCATAATCGTCATCGTCATGGTCATCATCATCATCAGCATCACCAGCATCAGCATTCAGCATTAGCATCACCATCAGCATCATCACCCTCATCATCAGTATAATCATCATCACCAGCACAACAATCATCATAATCATCATCACCATCGTCAGCAGCAGCAGCAGCATCAGCAAGAACAGCATTTATATAATCAACACCATCGTCATTATTCATCGTCGTCGTCATCGACATCGGCATCATCATCATCCTCATCATCATCATCATCATCCTCATCATCATCATCATCATCATCATCAACACCGTCGTCATCATCGTCATTGTCCTCGTCGTCATCATCATCATCACCCGCATCACCACCAGCATCATCGGCATCACCACCATGATCATTATAATCATCATCAACATCAGCATCATCCTCAACACCAGCAGCATGATCATCACCATCCCAGCATAATCATCATGATAAGCACCAGCGCCAGCACCAACATCAGCATCCACCTCCTCCTCCTCATCATCACCGTCACCTCCACCATCAGCACCGCCACCACAATCATCATCATCACCATCATCATCATCATCCTCATCAGCATCAGCATCATTAGCATCATCATCATCAACATCATCATCATAACCAATATCATCATCATCACCCATCTTTATCACCTCACCAGGGCTCTCCCATACCGGGAAACGTGAGGTGACATACGTGACGGCCTCCCGTACCCCCTCGAACAGTCGCCATTCAGAATGTTGGGCTGGCACGTTGGCGGGACTCGCGGCAGGCAGCTAGATAATTCCGTCGCGAACATTACTGCTATTCCCAAGACCTCCTCAGGGGAGCGTTCTGACCAGAATATTCAGACGAATCCAGTCATGGCAATGAAGCAAGGGCAGCGGCATCGGGATATTTTCTTCGGTGTATGTCCCATGGGAGGCTGCGTGGCCCTCGGCGCTGTCCACACTTGGGACCAGATTGGATCGGTTTTGGACGAAATTCGCCCATTCCCACAAGAGACGCGAAAAGAACGAGGAGGGGGAGGGAGAACAGGAAGGGCGAGGAGAAGCAAACACAGATGTCAAATGCGATCCAAGAGAAGCTGATTCCCATGCCCCCTCCAGAAGCTTCCGTGAACAGGTGTCGAATTGTTCCCCTGCAAGAAACTTCCAACATGGGGTCGGAATCAATGTGGGCGGACGATTGCGCGGCACCACCGATGCAACGCCGGTACATCGTGGATTTCCCCGCGACGTCGGCGATGCATCGGCTGCACGGGCGGGGACAAAATGTGGTTCCACATCGAGTCGCATCGCACATGCATCGGCGATGCAGCGCGATCCTCCGAGCCCATCGATTCCAGAGTGGCAGAAAACACGTTAGCAAGCGCAGACCCCAACCATTGTTCTTCTGGCATTCCATGTGGCGCAATCAATGCGGAACAACTTACGTGGTGCGACAACCCTGTGAAACTTGAGGTTGTCAGCTCCACTGCTCGCGCAACCATCCCATCCACCCACCTGCAACTTAGTGTGCAAAACTCATGCGGCAGCGATTGCGGTGACTGCTCGGCGCTAGCTGGCGCATCGCCGCGGCAGCGCTGGCGCGCAGGCCCGCGCGCGAAGCGGCCAGCTAGCTTGACGCGACCGACGCGGCCGCGGTGGTGCTGACCGCTGGGCACTTCCCAGCGGGCAATTCACTGCGATTCGCCGACAGCGTCGACAACCGTAGACACTATGATGGTACTAGCCATGCTGGAGACGATGATGACGACGGCAAGGGCAGTGACGGCGCCGAGTCTGATCATGCCGACGACGATGACGGCGTCTTCGCGTCGGTGATGAAGGTTTTGGAAGGAAATCGATGTTCGCGCGCGGCCGACGCGACGGATCGTGCCCCCCCCCAGCACGCGCGCAGAGGGCGTGCGAATGATTTCGACATGTGGCGCGTCATGCCATTTTGACACGATTTAACGAACATGCTTTGTATAGATTTCTCGAAAGAACAATGTTTTCCAAAGAGGACCGATATCATCGAAAGCTGGTGTTGCAAAGCCACATGTTCTTTAATGTTTTCGGGACGCTCGACTTTGAAATCCCTCCGAAACCCAAGGACTCTCAGTGCGCGCGCGATGACGAGTGCGCGCGTGCACTTCACCCCGTCTTGCGACAACACGCGCGCAAATGCGTTCGAGCGATTCCGACACGCGCGCGCGAGGCCCATCCGGCATCAACACATGAAAGCATGAAAAACCAACGTCTTCCTCAAAAGTCCGACGTGCCCAAACGCAAGTATGTTTGAACATGCTGTTTGCGAAACCAGTCCTTGTTTTAAGGACCCGGGGTTATTGATTGATCTCGGCATGCGCGCGCGACGACGCGCGCGCACTGTGTCCCGTTTTTGCGTAAGGGGTCCTGGAGCACTTCGGAATTTAGATAAACGAGTGCACGCGCACAGTAGTTTTGCACAGGATGAAGGGAGGCTTTATCGGCCTGGCTGGAGGGGTACGAGTTCACACCCACGATGGATGATGGGGCAGAATCATATGTCAATTGCAATACAAAAGGGTGTGGGGTTAATCCCGGGACGGGAGGTAAAATTGCAGACTTGTTTACACATATGTGGACATCAGCTATCGATGTGGTGCAATTGGCTTTTTTTACAAATGGATTGACAAATTCCACGTCTTTGCATACATTCCACCCACCCACCCGCAACTTGATTTGCAGAACCCAGGCGGCGGCGATTGCCATGGGTGCTTGGCGTTGGCTGGTGCATCTCTGCGGCCGTGCTAGCCCACGCATGTTTGCACGCAAAGCGGCCAGCTAGTTTGGTGCGACTGGCGTGGCCGCGGTGGCGCTGACCGCTGGGCACTTCCCAACGGGCACCTTAGTGCGAGTCGGTGACTTGGGCGGGCGCAATATCATGGCGACGCCGACCACGGTAGACACGATTTTGAAAGTAGCGACGATGGTAAAGATGATGGCGATGACGACGACAAAGCCAATGACGGCGCCGATGTTGATCACGCCCGCCAAAAACGATGATGTCCTCGCGTCGGCGATGGAAGTTTTTGAAGGAGTTCGACATGCGCGCGCGGCCGACGCGCGCGAGTGGCCCGCGTGATGTTATTTGACAAGGATCGTGCCCCCCCCCCCAGCACGCGCGCAAGGACGTTCGAATGAGTTCGACATGCGGCGCGGGAGGCCCGTTCGGCAGAATGTTACCGACGATTGGAATCCGCAAGACCGCGAGCGGAGGGTGTGGTTTGATAACTGGTGCAAAACCATGTGTTTGATTATATGGTTCGTGACTCTCGACTTCGAGATCTTTAGGAAACCTAAAGTCTTTGAACATTTCCGGCATGCGCGCGCGACGACGCGCGCGTGCGCACTTCGTCCCGTGTGTGCGCAAAAGGGCTCTTAAACCTAATAATTTGTGATAAACGAGCGCGCGCATTCTATCTGTTGCAGAGGATGAGGGGGGGAACCGATACTGGCCTGGCTGGGATAGTGTGAACTCATATTTCGGATGGACGATGGGGCAACATCGCATGTAAATTGCAATACGAAAAGGTGGCCAAGGGGGGTAGATCCTAGTACGATTCGAGAAGGCAGAATGTATGTAGTACAATCGATGCGGTGCGATCCAAGTGGTGCATGGCGTGCGATCCACGTGGTGCAACCTAGGTGGTGCGATCTATGTAGTGCAATATATGCAGTGCGATCTAAATGGTGCATTATCTGCGATCTATGAGCTGCAATGTATGTGATGGAATCTATTTGGTGCAATCCAAGTGGTGCAATGTGGTGTAATTATGCGAGGCCGCGTTCCGTTTGACACAACTAAGGAAACCCAAGTGTCAACACTGTTGAGAAAAAAAGCAATGACTTCTCAGAGATCCGCGCGGCATTCTTCGATCGGAGCTGGACCCCCTCCCTGGCGCGCGGAGCGCGCCAGGGGCGGCGCAGGAGGCGCCGCCAGGAGGGCCCCAGCGCCGATCCAAGAACTCCGTGCGGAGCTCCGAGAGTTTACGCTTACGCCAGTTTTTCATCGTTGATGCTCGAACCCTATCTGTGAGCATCGTTTAGTCGATCCCCATCCCTACAGGCGTGACCTGGGCCCCACTGGCCGATCTGTCCCCCGAGACGGGGACATGGGCTGCTCCACTGCAGGCCTCGGTTAGATCCCCGTCGGGCTCGGGCTGGAGCTGGGGATGGGGACAGGGATCGGTTGAACGATACTGAATTTAAGTCGGGCCTGTTCTCCTACAGGGGGATTTTGGACTGAAAAATGAAAAATAGTCGAACAAAAACCAAACTGTCAAAACATATACACAGAATCGCCCCCAGACTACTACTCCTTGACTATTTTGGAACACTCCTCCTGCAGAGGGACAGGCCCGACTGAAGACTGAATCCGGGAGGCCTGGAGCTTCGACCCCCGACGTCCAGGTGGCTTGCCAGCGGGCTGTCCGCCTGCGCAGGGGGGGGGGGCCGCCGGCCGCGTGGCGGGCGGTGCGGGCCCTGCCCCGGGGCCCAGTCCGCGGGCCCCCGGGCGTCGGCGCGGACGCGCCCCGCGGGCTCGGAAGGCCCGGGCGGAGGGAGGAGGAGGAGGAGGAGGAGGAGGGGGAGGGGGAGGGGGAGGAGGAGGAGGAGGAGGAGGAGGAGGAGGAGGAGGAGGAGGAGGCGGAGGAGGAACGCGAGGAGCAAGGGGTCTCACGGACCCAGACCTCCTAGCGCAGTGAGAAAAGCAAGACGGAGGTCTTGCTCGACGTCTGGCCTCCAGCGGCCCTCGCCCGGCCCCGGGGCCGTGAAACACGGGCGCCCGTGCGGAAACAGCTGCGGCAGCGGGTCTCTGGGGAGCTGAGGCTCCCTGGCAGCTCCAATGCTTGCCGCTCCCTCGTGCGTTGGCCGCCCGACAGCTCCCGGGCTCCCGTCTGCTGCGCGTGCGGGCCTGTGCTCCCGCAGGCACGCCCAGGAGCTTGTCATGCTCTGAGCGCAACTCCGCCGACCGCGGCCTCCCCTCCCCCCCCCTTCCAAGACTGTCCCGCTCCTGCTGTGCCTGACTTGGCCCCGAAGAGTCCCCCGGCTGCCCCGACAGCGTCTTCGCTCCAAGTCGCTGCGACTCAACGTGAGGAAAACGGACAGGTGGCACCATCACCACCAGGGACCACAAGCAGGAAGGGCAAGGTGCGGCCACCCTGGTGGTGTGGTCCCTCCTCCCCTCTCGCTCGAAACATCCCCTATCCCAGCTCGGGGAGGCATCGTGGACCTCCTCGCTGGCGGTGGACCCCTGGTGGCGGTGGTGGTGCCGCTTCTCCTCCCCCCGAGCACGTGAGCGACGCAATGAAGCGCGTCTTAGGCGAGAAGAGTCGAGAAGACATGGCGACCAGACGCGGCGGCCTAGTTACGCTACATTGGAACCGACGACGCGTCCGCGCGACCTTGCGCGGGCAGATTACGCGCGAATGCTAGCGCAACCCAACCTGTTTTTTTGCGTCGCCCCTGTGGGCGCGCCCCAGACTTCTGACGTCGTTCACGAGCGGCGAACGTACTTCGAACTTCTTAGTAATCAACTGGGGGGGGGGGGACAAACGTGAAAACGCGGCGCGGCCAACCCCCCCTGCACCACCCCCGCGCCCCAGTGGGGAAGGGAACGAGCCCCAGAACCCCCCCTGGCACCCACGCGGTCGCGCCGCGCACGCCCTCGCGGTCTGGAGTCTGGGGCGCGATCCCGTGGATACGCGGTGAGGCATCCGCGACAAACAACGGCCGGCATGCCTGGGATCGCGGCCGAGGGGCCCGGCCTGCGAGGCCGAGGGTGCGGCTTGCGATGTCCTCCTCCACCAGCGAGCTGTGACGTTTGTCGCATCGGGGCCCCCCAGGGGCCTGCGATAGTCGGGGCGGAGTGGAGAGGACACGCGAGAGGACGCAAGACTCTTTTGATGGCCACACCGCCAGTGGAACGCAGAGGGCATGGGTCGCGAAACGCAGGGCACAAGAGTGCCCCTGTTCGGGCAGGGTCGACGTACTCGTCAAGCTCGACTGCACAGGGGACTGGCTGTGCATCTTGGACCGTTCTGTTGTCAGCCCCGTGCCCCCTTGGAATAGGGGGCAAACAAACCTACCTCGCTTTTGACCACCCTCGCCTCCAAGAGATACCAAGCGATGCCAAACTACGGCCTGCACTGGTCAGGCCGCTTGACGAGAAGGCGCGTGGTATGACTTGATTTTGCCTGGAAGCGAAAGCGGGGCAGGTAATTCACGCTCTGATGGAAAAGCGACTCCTGCAGGTCGTGTCGGAGAATCGTCTGAGGGACTTGCCTAGTGATAGTTTCTCATCTCAGCGGCCGCACGATTCCTGGGCCCGCCGACAGCGGCCCCCGAGGGCGACGAACTGCGGAAAGGAGAAGACGACGAGACAGACCAATCGACGATGCAGGCCGCACGACTATTCCAAGGCCCTCCCACGGGGGGGGACGCAGCTGCCGAGCCCCGTCCGGAGCACCTTGCCTTGCCATCGCTCGGACGCCCAATTCCCCGTGCATTTGTGTTCGGTGTCGCGCGTTTTTTTTTTTGGGGGGGGGGGGGCTCGATGAGCAAGGATGCTCTTCGATGGCCCCCGCCGAACAAAGACGCACAGGTCCGTAGGGAAACGAACACTGACATGAACGGAAAACTCGGAGGTCCGTGCGGACTTCTCGGATCGGCGCTGGACCCCCCTCCCTGGCGCGCGGAGCGCGCCAGGGGCGGCAGCGGAGGCGCCGCCAGGGTTGGCCCCAGCGCCGATCCGAGAAATCCGCGCGGACCCTAGAAATGTTATGTGCATGTCAGTGCTCGTTCCCCGTGTTCCGTCGACTTCGAGCCTGGCTGTGCTGATGAGGTCAGTCGAGCCCGATGAGCTCTACGAGACATGATTTGGACAGTGCCCCGTACAGCTTGTCATCCGCAGCGCTGCCTCGGGAGCCCTCTTTTAACATCGCCTCAAGCAGGGCGTAGGATGAAGTCGGGCCTGTCTCCCTACAGGGGGATATTCGACGAAAAATTAAAAAATACCACCAAAATGGTCAACAAATCATCAACAAATAGTCTGGGGACTATTTCTCTGAGTATTTGTTGACCTTTTTGGGGCATGTTGGGGGTATTTTTTATTTTTCATCGAAAATCCTCCTGTACAGTCATCGGCCTGACCTAGGGAACGATAAATATGGAACGAAGATGTTTCCCAAGAGGTAACGCATAAGGAGCGAACAATAGAACATAAAACATAAGGAACGATAACAGCCCATGCAAGCCTGAGGAACGACCGAGCCCCTTTTGAAAAGTAAGTGTTCCTTAGTCAAGCCGCTCATTGTAGGGGGACGCGCCCGACTTCAGCGCAGGAAGGGCCGAGGAGCCCCGCCGCGCCAGCGCTGAGCCGCACGGCGCACCCGCCGACACGCGGGCGCGCCGCCCGGGGGCAGGCCGGGCAGGCCGGGCAGGGCGCCCGCGCCCCGCCGCGCCTGGCGGTGCCCACGGCGGTGTTTGTTTGCTGTTTCGTCTCCACGCGGCGGGGACGTCGGGCCTGTTTGCCACCGCCACCGCCATCAGTAGCGGAGGGGGAGGGGGTCCCTCCTTCTCCACCTCCGTTCCCCCCCCCATCCAACCTATGCTGGCGGAGCGCGCTTCTGTATGTGCGGCGGCAATGGGCATTGTAAGGGGGGGGGAGGGGCCAGGGGGGGGAGGTATAATGCAACGCCTCCCCCCGCCAACGGCCGGGCGGCTGGGGGGGGGGGGGAGGGGCGCTGCGTTATGTGGAGGAGGGGGGGGGAGAGGGGGGGGGGCAAGGGGGCTATAATGCCCAATGTGCCCCAAGCAAGAGGGAAGCACGCTCGTGGTGGAACACGAGCCCATCAGGGGACGTCGGGGGGCTGCCGGGCGCCCGCGGGCGACAGGCCTCCGCCAGCGCCTCGGGGCCCTGGCGCTAAAGCGAGGCGCGCCGAGGGGCGGGGAGGCAGGCGCGGCCCCCGCGGGGCGCCGTCGGAAGCCCGCCCCCCGCGGGCGCGGGAGAGGCTCAACGCTCGCGAGCCTCTGCGGCCTCCCGGGCCCGCTGAGGAGGAGGAGGAGGAGGAGGGGGGGAGGAGGAGGAGGAGGAGGAGGAGGAGGAGGAGGAGGAGGAGGAGGAGGAGGAGGAGGAGGAGGAGGAGGAGGAGGAGGAGGAGGAAGAGGAGGAGGAGGAGGAGGCCTGGGGCCTGGGACGTTGGCGCGCCCGAGACGGATACGGGCAAAATGGGTACGACGCCCAGCAGCAATCGTGTCTCAGATGGGCAGCGCCCGCGGCGGCACCGACAGCGAACCCTGATCAGAATGGACAAGAACTGCTGTCGGTCTTCGTACTGAGAGCATCGCTCATCCAACCCCTATCCGCAACGGCCTGGCCTGGCCTGGGCTCCACTCGCCGATTTAGCCTCCCCCCCCGGGTGGGGATCCAGGCTGTCCCCTTCGGGTTTCCAGGGGTACATCCCCGACTGGGGTGGTAAAATTGTGGGGCTCGGGATGGGGATGGTAGAAGAAGAAACATAAGAATACTGAATAGTGGTAACACGAGTGATGAGACAAATAACAAGACACATAAGGAGAAAAATAAGAATAATAAGAATAATAAGAAGAACAAGAAGACGAATAAGAACCCGAAGAAGAAGAAAAAGAAAAATAAGAAGAAACGGCATAGACATAAACTTTCGACGGTCCGTGCGGAGTTCTTGGATCTGCGCTGGGCCCCCCTCCCTGACGCGCGGCGCGGCGGCGCCGCCGGGGGGGCCCTGCGCGGATCCAGGAGGCCCGCGCGGAGCGCCCAAAGTTTATGCTTATGGCGCTTCTTCTCCTTCGAGATGGGGACAAGGACCAGTTGATCCTGGACGAAGACCAGTTGGTCCTGGACGAGGAAGAGTTGGGGACAAGGACAGGACCAGTTTCTTTTCTTTTTCTTCGACGATGCCGATGCTGGATGAGGGACCGACCGCCCCAACATTCCTATAGGCCTACCACGGCATGTTCTCAGATCCCAACATGTTTTGAGTACGATAACCATGTTCTTAGAACACAAACCCGATGTGCTAAAACAAGAGAGTCCCAGCCAGAAATGTTCAACGCATACTTCGTGGAAGCCACCAGAGGCTCTTAGAACATTGTTTGGCAGGCCTATAGGCACGCCAAGACGCTTCGCCACAGCTTGAGATGTACTTATTCTTTCCGTGCCCTCGCTCGCACCGAGCACGGGCGTGGCAAGGGTCGGCGCCCCCGGCGCGCGCGACAGGCGCCCCCCTCGGGCCTGGTGCTGGAGCATCGCGGTGTAGCGCTTCATCAGGTCGCCGGCGGCTTCGGGGCCCTTGGGCGGCGGGAGGATCTGATGGGCCCATTCTCCACCACCACTACCATATGTAGGAGGGGGAGGAGGAGGAGGAGGAGGAGGAGGAGGAGGAGGAGGAGGAGGAGGAGGAGGACCTCCCCGTCCTCCCTGATCCCCTGACCTACACCTGGTAGTGGTGGTGGAAAACTTGCCCATCAATGATGGCGGTGGCGACGAGGGCGACCCGTGCGTGGCGCGCGCGAGCGCGCGCGCGCGCGTGCATGGCGTGAGTGTGCGCGCAAGAAGAACGCACGAGCTAGGCGCCAGCCCTGGCGCCGCGGGGGCGGCGCGAGGAGGAGGAGGAGGAGGAGGAGGAGAGGAGGAGGAGGAGGAGAGGAGGAGGAGGAGGAGGAGAGGAGGGAGGGAAGGGAGGGAGGAGGAGGAGGAGGAGGAGGAGGAGGAGGGAGGAGGAGGAGGAGAGAGGAGGAGGAGGAGGAGGAGGAGGAGGAGGAGGAGGAGGAGGAGGAGGAGGAGGGGGAGGGAGGGGGGGAGGAGGCCCCCTCCGCCGACATTGCCCTCCTCCGGGGATGTGCGCACGTGAGGCGCGCGGGGGGAGCCTGCGGGCGCGCCTCGTGGCCCAGCCGGGGGCCGCTGGCTCGCGAGGAGCTCCCTGGCGCGCCGGGTCTCCGAGTCTCGGGCTGGCCCGAGGCAGAGCGCGCAGAGACACCATCTGGCCGAGCCGAGGCCGCTTCGCTGGCACTGTGGCATCCCCCCCTCCCCCTCCTCGCCCCTCTCCTCCCCTCCCCGCCGCGTGGCTTCGTTCACCAACAAGGGGGGAGCGAGGGTCTACATGCGAGGGGAACGGAAAAGGAAGCATGGACCTGCAGGAACCGGCGGTACGTGGCCGACAGATCGGCGACAGGCCCCCGATGGCGGATCCGCACCGCCCTGGGCAGGGTGGGCTACCAGGCCCCCATCGGCGATACACTGGGCGGTGGGGGGCTGAGGCTCCACTGAAGGGGCCCCAGGACACACAAATAAATACACACACATGAAACTATTCCTCATCTTTTCCCATATGTTCTGGGTCTCTTGGGCGCCCGAGTTATCCGGGGTAACTCGGGTCCGGGGTAACTCGGGTTTGGATTCCCGAAAAACGAACCCGAGTTAGCCCTGACCCGAGTTACCCCTGATGACTCGGGGCTCTGGACGCCCGAATTATCCGGGGTAACTCGGGTCCGGGGTAAGTCGGGTTCGGATTCCCGAAAAACGAACCCGAGTTAGCCCTGACCCGAGTTACCCCTGATGACTCGGGGCTCTGAGTCTCTGTCTTCCCCCCCACACTTCCCATATTTTCCCATATTTTCTGGTGGATCGAAGATCAAATTGTGCCTCCGTGTCGTTTCTCCTCCTGGTCCACCCCCCGGAGCCCGTCGCTGCCCCGTATGCCCGACCTTTTCTCCCCCATCCCCGCGGGGATTTTGACGGCCCCGTCCCCCTCCTCCTCCACCTCCTCCTCCTTCTCCTCTTCCTTCTCCTCCTCCACCTCCTCCTCCTCTCCTCCTCCTCCTCCTCCTCCCTCCCTCCTCCTCCTCCTCTCTTCCTTCTCCTCCCCCCCTCCCCTCCTCCCCCCTCCTCATCCTCCTCCCTCCTCCTCCTCCTCCTGCTCCTCCTCCTCCTCCTCCTCCTCCTCCTCCTCCTCCTCCTCCTCCTCCTCCTCCTCGGGGCAGTCCCGGCCCGAGCCGGCCAGGGCTTTGCAGGATCCTGCAAGACAAGAGCCTGCAGGATCCCGCAGGCACCTGCACCCAAGCCCGGGTCGTTGCACCCGTGTTTCGAACATTTTCAACATACACGATTTTCGGGCACTTGCAACGTCCTCGATGGCCCAACCGCCCCCCAGATCGCCCCAAACCGGCCCAAGAGGCCTCCAAAGAGAACCCTAGGGCAGCTCGAAAGAGCCCCAAGAGAGACCAAAGGTGGCGCTGCAGGCTCCTGCAGGATCTTCAGGCGCTCTGACGGAGCCCCGCCGGCATATCAGCCCCCGTCCCTGGAGCCCCGACGTCCCCCGCCGCAGGGCGCCCTGCGCCGGCAAGACAAGACCGCTCACGCGAGGGCCTGTGCATGGCGCCCGCGCGCCACCAGCAGGTCGGGCCTGTCCCTCTACAGGCGGATGTTGGACGAAAGATCGAGAAAAGTTAACAAATACGCCAAGATTGTCGAACAAATCCTGCAGAATCGCCCCCCGAAGATCTTGTTAACTATTTTTGAAGATTCCCTCTGTAGGGGGACAGGCCCGACTTCACGCCACCACCGCGGCGGAGGAGGAGGAGGAGGAGGAGGAGGAGGAGGAGGAGGAGGAGGAGGGGAGGGAGGAGGAGGAGGAGGAGGAGGGGAGGAGGAGGAGGAGGGAGGAGGAGGAGGAGGAGGAGGAGGAGGAGGAGGAGGAGGAGGAGGAGGAGGAGGAGGAGGAGGAGGAGGAGGAGGAGGAGGAGGAGGAGAGGAGGAGGAGGAGGAGGAGGAGGAGGGAGGAGGAGGAGGAGGAGGAGGAGGAGGAGGAGGAGGAGGAGAGGAGGAGGAGGAGGAGGAGGAGGAGGAGAGTAGGAGGAGGAGGAGGAGGAGGAGGAGGAGGAGGAGGAGGAGGAGGAGGCCCCGAGGCCGAGAGCGGCGGGCGGAGGCCGGCGGGGGGCGCCTCGCCGTAGGGGTACATCACCTGCGGGCCCTCGTGCATGGACCCCTGCCGCAGGGGCAAATGAAGGGGCCCACAAACACACAAATAAATGCACACAAATAAAAGGAGTCCCCATATTCTTCCATATTTTATGGTTTTTGTCTCCCCCCACACTTCCCGTATTCTCCCATATTTTCCTGGGGATCGACGATTAATTGTGTCTGTGTGTTTCTCCCCCCTGGGCAGAGCCAGGCAGAGAACGATGCTTCCCAGCCCCAAACGCATCCCTATCCCTAAGATTGACACGCCACAAGGCGATGACAGTCTTAGGGATTCGACCTCAAAAAAAGAAGGGAATCCCAAGATTGGCATCGTGATGAGAAGGTGCCCAACATAGGGATAGGGATACGTTCCAGGCTGGTAAGATGTCACGAGGCGATGGGTTCGGGATCCGTGCCAGGAGCTCTGGAGTATCCGGCGGCCCTGGGTGGCCGGAGCCCGCGCGGGGCGTCGGGGGATCTGGGGGAGATCACCGAAGTCCTGGGGATCTTGGAAGGCACCGTGTTCACGACTTGTGGCCTCTCTGAGGCGTCGTGGGTGGCCGCCTCTCGCTCTCTCTCTCTCTCTCACTCTCTCTCTCTCTTTCTCCGTCTTTCGATCTCGTGCTCTTTCTCTCGCTCTCGGCCTGCCTCTCGGTCCCTCGGTGAACGCAACATGTCATAGAAACACCCTATAATTGCGATGTCCGTGTTGCTTGTCCTAGCTCGGCACTGGGCCACCCTCTAGCAGCGCATCCGTCGCCGCCCCTAGCGCGCTTCGCGCGCCAGGGAAGGGGGTAACTGATAGCAAGGGTCCATGAAACCCGCGCAAGGTACCAATACCGCTACTCCCCGGACCTCTCCCGATGTGCGCTCTGACCAGGACTTCAAGGCGAGTCCAGCCGTGGCGAAGAGGGCCTCCACGGAGGCCCTCCAAAGCCCGAGCGAGGCACGGGTGGGCGGCACAGGTACCCCTTCCTCCTCCGAATGCGCAGAAGGCACCTATACACCACCACCGTGGCTGGCCACGGCCAGCCTGGGCCCTGGCGTGGTGTGTACGCCTGCCTGGCCGATGCCAGGAGGGCGTGTGCACCATAGTGGGGCCCAGGATGGCCCTGGCCAAGCACGATGGTGGTGTATAGGTGCCGCCTGCGGCTCCGAAGACCCGTGCGGAACTCCGAACGCAGAACCACGCTTATGAAGGGGCCCTGGGACACACAAATGAATAGACACAAAAAACAGGATCCCCATGTCTTCCCGTCTTTTCTGGGTTTTCGTCTTCCCCCCCACTTTACATATTTTCCCATCTTCTCCTGGGAAGCGACGATTACTCGTGTCTGTGTGTGTGTGTGTGTGTGTGTGTGTGTGTGTGTGTGTGTGTGTGTGTGTGTGTGTGTGTGTGTGTGTGTGTGTGTGTGTGTGTGTGTGTGTGTGTGTGTTTTCCCCCTCCCGTCATTTGACAAACGGCTGCACGCAGGAGCGGCCCTGCAGGCAAGGACCGGCCCGTGGCGCGCCGCTCTCGGGGGGAGGGGACGGGGGCACTCCCCCCAAGAGAAGCCGCTGTGCAGGGTGCCCCCACTATTGCGCGCACGCGCGCGGGGGAAGGCTGGGACGGGACTGGCTCGTGAGTCGGCGATGGACAAGCCTCCCTTTGGTCAGCCTCCCCTTCGTGAAAACGGCCTGGGACCGGAACCGACGGACCTGGGCCCGCAAGCATGACGGCCGCGACGCCCTCTCGCGAACCGAACGCGGCCAATTCCTCAATCGACGTGTCGGGGCAGGAGGTCCATCCACCTCCGAATGACAAAAAAACGTCGGCCTGGAACCGGCGGTACCTCGCCGCCAGCTCGGCGATGGGCCCCCGACAGCGCGCGGCACGCTCCCGGGCGGGCGGCGGGGCCCCCACCGGCGATCCACGGCCGCCTTATGGGGTCGCTGCGCCCCCCCCCGGAGCCCAGTCCTCTTCGCTACAGATCTGGGGCGCGCAGACATGCTGCCCGTGCCACCTCGTTCGGCGGCGGAGGTCTGCGGACTCCCATGGAAACGGGAGCCCTCGCTCATCCACGCCCCTCTCGATCCATGGCGATCGCCCGGCACACCTGCCCCTGACCGTGGCTGGGGCCGTTCCCTCCCCCGCTCCCTGGGGGCGCCACGCTTCGCGCCGGCGCCGCCCGCACCTCGCGCTGACTCCTAACCAGCACCGGCCAGGAGGCGCAGCAGGGCTCACCCATGGGAGGGCCGCGCCTCGCAGAGACACACAGAGGGGCCACACAGTCGATTTCATTGGAGAGGACACGCGAGAGGACACAAGACCCTTCCGAGGGGCCACATGGCCATAGGATGGTAGAAGGCATGGGTCGCCAAACACAGGACGCAAGAAGAACACCCTTGATTTGGCAGGGTCGACCTGCCAATCCGCCTCGACTGTAGCGCATCCACGCACTTTTCCTCCAATGGCGAGGTGACACCGTCGCGATGAGCCAAACCGGGTCGCGCCTCGGCGAATCACCAGCTGGCGTGGCAGATGTTGGCGGCGCGCACAAGGGGGTGGAGGGAGGGGGGAGGGCTTCTTAGAAGGAGGCTGCTTCTTAGAAGGCGCCGGCCTCACATCTATAGATAAGGCCCGCGCCTTCTGAGAAGCAGGGGTGCTTCTAAGAAGTCCTCCCCCCTCCCCCCACCCCCCTCTGCACGTGGCTGAAGATGGGTGATCGCACCCACGCGCGCACAAACAAACTCGATCCTCGAGCCTCGGTCCCGGCGACGGGCTCGGCGGCACGGCGTAGTGAAGATCGGGTGAAGAGGGCGCCCGGAGGCAAACCATCGCATTCACACACGCACGCACGCACGCACGCACGCACGACCGCACGACCGCACACGCACACATCCACATACACACCACACACACACACAGGCACCACACGGGCGCAGCAGCGGGGCTGGGCCGGCGCGCGCCTGCCTGCGGCAGAGGCCTGCTGTGGAAGTGGCGGATGGCGCTTCCGAAATCCATGCCCAGCTGCCGCAACTCCTGCCCCGCCAGCGGTGGGTGGCCCAAATGCAGCGGACGAAAAGCTCGCGTGCCAGCTTGCGGGTAGGGCGGGTGCCTGCGCTGAGCTCACTGCCGCCTTCCCGTTGCAATTCATGCCGTCGCAGACAGTTGGCCGAGGAACGCTCCAGCGGGATCGCGACGCGTCCTGTGCACCAGAGCACAGGTCTCCCTCACATCGTCCAGAGTCTGATGGTCCGAATGTAGCGGACAAAGCACGGTGCAACACAAACCTTTTCGCCGTCAGGAACTCTTGCCCCAAGGCGGCTGCAAAGCTCGCACCCCTACGGTTGCACGTCGGGGTAGAAACTTTGCAGCCGCCGTGGGGCAGGCGTCCCCAGCGGCGAGAAAATGTTTTATCATTCGTCGATCGCTGGAGCATGTCGTTGTATTTTCCGCGATAGCGGCCGTCACCGGCCCCGCCCCACCCCCCCAGGTGACGTCACGTTCCGCGCCGGCGGCGTCCGCGAATGCCTAAGGATAGACAAAGCCATGTAGGAGAAGCACGTAGGTGGCGATCTGCACCACAGCGCGCTTGTACACCGCAGTGCACGCGTGCATCACAGCGCGCGTGTACACCACAGCGCCTGTGTACACCGCAACAGCAGTGTGCAACGCAACGCCGGTGTACACCACAGTGCCTGCGTGCACCACAGTGCACCACAGCTCCCGTGTACGCCACAGCGAATGTGTACATCGCTCCAGCCGTCTGCAACACCGCACCTGTGCACACCACAATGCTTGCGTGCACCGCAGCGCCTCTGCACACCACAGCACCTGCGTACCCCACAACGTTCGCGTGCAACACAACGCTGGTGTACACCACAATGCCTGCGTGCACAGGACAGGTAGAAGGAGCATGTCGGTAAAGATCTGCTGCGGACAGTTACACACCACGCAAGGGGAGCGCTGAGAGTATCATGCAATTATCTTCCCTTCTCCCTCCTCCTCGTCCTCCATTCTCCTCCTCCTCCTCCTCCTCCTCCTCCTCGTCCTTCTCCTCCTCCTTAACGCTTCCCCCCGCCGTGCGGGTCGGCGCTACAGCGCACGTGTGCATCACAGTGCGCATCCCAGAACAGTGGTCTATTGAATCAGTCCGCTGGGTTCTCGGACGGCCAATTCTGCGTGAGCCTTCTGAACGCCGATGGGCGGAAATAGGATGATGCCGGAGGCCTCGTAGATTCCAGAGGCGCTCATTTCTTCTGTACGGATTCCTGCCCAAATCCCATACGAAATACATGTTTTATGGAGCCCCCAGGCGCTCCAGTTTGTCATGAGGATTCCCTCTAAAACCCGATATGCAATAATGATGCTCTGTTGCTCACGGTTGCCGTGGTGCACACACGCACCGTGGTGCACAAAGGCGCTGTGGTACACGCAGGCACTGTGGTGTACACGGGTGCTGTGTTGCACACGGCTGCTGTGGTGCACGCAGGCGCTATGGTGTACACAAGCGCTGTGATGCATGCAGGCACTGTGGTGCACACTGGCGCTGTGTTGCACGCGGCTGTTGAGTTGTACATAGGCGCTGTGGTGTACACAGGCGATGTGGTGCACGCAGGCACTGTGGTGCACACAGGCGCTGTGATGCAGATCGTCACCCACATGCTGCTCCTACCCGTCCTCGGTCATTCCGAGGCATTCCTAGACGCCGCCAGCGCGAAACGTGACGTCACCCCCCCCTTTTGACGCCTCGCCCTGGAATGTACAAAAAAACAAGCTCCTGACGAATGGACGCCTCCACCCCCGAACACGACCACACAAACTTGTTGCCGAAAAGCGCTGCGAGTGGAGGTGCTCCGAAGCCGTGAGAGGGATGTGCCGAGAAGGGCGAAGACCCGAAATGTGAACGCGCCCGCTGGGGTCGTCAACGGAACTCCCTGTGGGGCGCGATTTGTCTGAGGGGGTACCCGTTCTGCGAGGTCCGCACGCGAACTGCCCCCCTGGAGCTGCATTTGGATGTCCCTGCGGAGCACGACCCGCGTGGGGGGTGCGCCGAAGAAGGCTGGGGGGACACACGTGGAGCCCTCCAGTGGCGCCGTACATGCAGCGTCCTGTAAGTGCGTGGAAGGTGCGGGGGGCGTATCCGACCGCTCCCGCCGGAACCGACCGAAAGGGGGGAAGGGACGCACGTGGACCCCCGCGATGGGGCCGCAGGTGGATGGAGATCCCTGTGGAGCACGAGACGTTAGAAGGGTGTGCCGACATGGGCGGGGCGGCGGCATACAGATTGCGCCGCTGGGCCGGCACCAGGGCTCCCTGCGGGGCAAGTAGCGTGTGATGGGTGTGCCGAAATGGGCCGGGTGGGGGCATGCGGGCTGTGTGTCACTGGGGCGTTGAGTAGAGCTCCGAGCGCGGTACGAAGCGCGCGAGGGGTATAGCGAGATCAACAGTGGGGCAGCATGCGGACTGTGTGGTTGGGGCCGTGGGTTGGGCTCCGCGCGCGACCTGAAAAGAGTGACGGGTGTGCCGACACGGGCGGGTGTTAGCACACGGGACCGTCCATGGCGCCCCTGCGGGCACGAAGCGTGTGCCGACATGGACAAGGCGGCAAGATGCAGAGTGCGTCGCTGGAGCCTCCCTGTGGGACACGAAGCGTGAGAGCGGTGTACGGGCATGGGCTGGGTGGCGGCATGCAGACTGTGTCGCTTGGGCCGCACAGAGAGCGCCCTGTGGGGCACGAAACTCACGAGAGGTGTGAGCCGCAACGAGCGGGTTGGCGGCATGCGGCCTGTGGCCGGGGCAGTCAAGGGGTGTGAGGGGAGTGCCGACACTGGCGGGTGCGCGGCATGTGGACAGTGCCGCTGGAGCTGTGAGTGGGGCTCCCTCTTGAAAAGGAAAAGCAAGGGTTGTGTCGACATGGGTGGCAAGCGGGGTGGCCGCGTGCGGACTGCGTCGCTGGTCTCAATAGTGGGCGCAAAGATTGGCGAGGGCAGGATGAGGACGAGGAGGAGACGTGCGGCGCTGCGCAGTCTTTCCGTGAACCTCAAACATGTTTGATTATGCATGCGGCGGTTGGGCGATCGCACCACGGTCGACGCGGCACACAAACTACGGAGGCGTCGTGCACGCAGAAGACCCCGCCCGACCACCCACCCACCCGGACTCCGCGTCGTGGGTGCCGGCGAAAGACGCCGGCATCTTGGCCGCGATGGTCCCCAGAACGCCAGTCGCGTCCGTGACCGCGCCCGCGTCGCCGCCGAAGAGGAAGTCGTTGTACGTGTCCGCCGTCAGTCCTCTCAGCGGGGCGGCTCGGCGGAGGATCGGGCTTCGGGGAGCGCCCCCGTCGCCACGGCTGGATCCGCCTGGAGGTGCTTGTCGAAACGCACCTACAAGGGAGGGGTCTGGGGTCCGATGTTCGAGGATCGAGCTGACCCCACCCGCGCCGTGAAACTCACGCGTCGTGGAAGCTCTCGCCGTGGTCGGCCCCCCCGGGCCCTTTTGATGGCCCCCCGGAGGCGCCAAAACAGCTCGGGAGGAAACGCCCGTCCCGGGGACGGGGTCGAGACCTCTGGGGACCAACGCCCTGACGAGAAACACGACGTCGGGGTGACTGGGGAAGGGGCCCGGCGGAGAACAGAAGAAGATCACCTGGATGACCTATGGATCACAGGACATCGCCTTTCACGCCGCCCCCACGCGCCCCAACCGCGAACACTCGTCGCGCACTCCTGTGGCCCCTGTACGAAAGGAAACCGAACAGGTGTATACCAATACCGCGACTCCCCAAACCTCTCGCGCGGTGCGCTCTGACCTGAGTTCCGAGGCAAATCCGGCCCTGGCGACGAGGGCACCCCAGGAGGCCCACAAAGCCGAACACGAAGCCATTGCAAAGGTACGGCAGGTTCGTGTCGTGCCGACTTCGGCGTTGGCTTCTGACACCGCGGGGATCGTTCAACCTTGAACGATCGGTCGTTTCCGCAGCGTCCAAATCGTTCCACGTCGAACGATTCTGGGTCGCCCGCGGCGTTCCGAGCTGAACGCCGCTGGCGGGGTCGCCCCCGGTCCACACGACACGTACCTGCCGTACCCGTGCCTGCTCCTCCTCGGGCTGCAGAGCACCGGCTCTCTCGGGCCCTCCCGGAGCGCGAGGCTTATATGTCGGGCGTGTCCCCCTACAGCAGGGTTTTCGACGAAAAATAAAGAATACCCCCAAAATGCACCCCAATGGTCAAAAAATGCTCAAAAGATCGTCCCCAGACTGTTCTTGGATTATGTTTGGACTATTTTTGGGGGTAGGTTTAATCTTTCGTCCAAAATCCCCTCTGTAGGGGGACAGGCCCGACTTCACGCGAGGCCTCGCGCGCCCACGTGGCCCCCCCCCTCTCGAGCGGACCGCGCCTCCCTCGGCGCAGGCGCGCGCGCGCGACCGCGAGCGAAAGCCCGCGCCGAGCACCCCAGGGGGGGGGGGACGACAACAGGGGCACGAAGAATGGCAGAAGCATACAGTTGGTGACTACCTACCAGACCACCCCAACCCAACCCGAAGGCCCGAATCTCGGGTTGGGGGGGGTAAGGGTTCCATACGTGTTTTTTCGGCGTTCCCGGACCCCCCCCCACTAGAAATCGAGGGTAAATCTGAGCCTTCGGGTTGGGTTGGGGTGGTTTGGTGGGTGGTGAGTTGGGGGGGGGTCCAGCCATGCAGTGGTGCACGGCTGGACTCCCTCGCGGCCCCGCCCCGACGCGGTAGACGGCGCATAGTTTGATGGGCAAGGCTCCCACCGCCACTACCACATGTAGGACGGGTGAGAGGGGAGGATGAGAAGGTCCTCCTCCTCCTCCTCCTCCTCGTCCTCCATTCTCCTCCTCCTCCTCCTCCTTCTCCTCCTCCTCGCCTCACCACTACCACATGTAGGACTGGGAAGAGGGGGGATGAGAAGGTCCTCCTCCTCCTCTCCTCCATTCCTTATCCTTATATATAACTTTCCCCTGTCGCACCCCGAGGCCAGTTTTTAGGGCGGGCCGGGCGTTTCGCCTCACAACTGGCAACAGTTTCACGGATGGAGGGCGGCTAGCTTTCAAAATGTTGCTCGCGCTTTAGCGCCACGCACACTCGTCCTGAAAATTGCCAAAGCTTCACGGATTGAGGATGATCCGTTTTCAAAATGTGGCTCTCGCCTTAGCGCCGCGCACACTCGTTCTCACCATCTGCGAGAGTTTCACGAATTGAAGATCCGCCGGCCCCCTTGTGGGGCCACCAGGCTGTAGGCGCGGGTTCGCAGTTTCCTGTACCAGTTGTAGCTTGTAGTTTCCAGTGTTACTAGTTGACTTCTTGCTGGTTACTGTAACTAGTTGATTGACCGCGCGAGGGGGGGGGAGGCCCAAACAGGATTTTTAGCCTCACCTGGGCGCGTTGTCTGAATTGCTGGGGGGGCTCGAAATCGACATCCCTCACGCAGATCCGCGGGGTCAGGGTCCAAAAACACATGGGATTTGCCACATTTCTGAAATTCGGTGCCACCCCTCACGCAGATCCGCGGGGTCAGGGTCCAAAAACACATGGGATTTGCCACATTTCTGAAATTCGGTGCCACCCCTCACGCAGATCCGCGGGGTCAGGGTCCAAAAACACAGGGGATTTGCCACATTTCTGAAATTCGGTGCCACCCCTCACGCAGATCCGCGGGGTCAGGGTCCAAAAACACATGGGATTTGCCACATTTCTGAAATTCGGTGCCACCCCTCACGCAGATCCGCGGAGTCAGGGTCCAAAAACACATGGGATTTGCCACATTTCTGAAATTCGGTGCCACCCCTCACGCAGATCCGCGGGGTCAGGGTCCAAAAACACATGGGATTTGCCACATTTCTGAAATTCGGTGCCACCCCTCACGCAGATCCGCGGGGTCAGGGTCCAAAAACACAGGGATTTGCCACATTTCTGAAATTCGGTGCCACCCCTCACGCAGATCCGCGGGGTCAGGGTCCAAAAACACATGGGATTTGCCACATTTCTGAAATTCGGTGCCACCCCTCACGCAGATCCGCGGGGTCAGGGTCCAAAAACACAGGGATTTGCCACATTTCTGAAATTCGGTGCCACCCCTCACGCAGATCCGCGGGGTCAGGGTCCAAAAACACATGGGATTTGCCACATTTCTGAAATTCGGTGCCACCCCTCACGCAGATCCGCGGGGTCAGGGTCCAAAAACACATGGGATTTGCCACATTTCTGAAATTCGGTGCCACCCCTCACGCAGATCCGCGGGGTCAGGGTCCAAAAACACAAGGGATTTGCCACATTTCTGAAATTCGGTGCCACCCCTCACGCAGATCCGCGGGGTCAGGGTCCAAAAACACAAGGGATTTGCCACATTTCTGAAATTCGGTGCCACCCCTCACGCAGATCCGCGGGGTCAGGGTCCAAAAACACATGGGATTTGCCACATTTCTGAAATTCGGTGCCACCCCTCACGCAGATCCGCGGGGTCAGGGTCCAAAAACACATGGGATTTGCCACATTTCTGAAATTCGGTGCCACCCCTCACGCAGATCCGCGGGGTCAGGGTCCAAAAACACATGGGATTTGCCACATTTCTGAAATTCGGTGCCACCCTTCACGCACATCCATCGCAAGGCGTGGTAACCCAAACTGCGAGAACTCCCTCGGCCCTTTAATCGCAAGGTGTGGTAACCAAGCCCGTAAACCATACACGTCTTACCAATCGCCAGGTGTGGTAACCCCTCTTGTGATCAGTTGGTTTTGCTGATTGCGAATCGGCTTCGCATGAAGTTTCGATACTGCTTCACGACAGCGCCAAGGCCTCATGACTTAGCTCTTCCATGGCCCATTCTCCGAGAGAGGGGGCCGGCGGCAGGGGGCGAAGCCCTTACGGATAAACCGTTTTCGAAATGTGGCTCTCGCCTTACCGCCGCGAACATTCGTGCTAGAAAATGAAAGAGCTTCACGGATTGAGGGCGGTTCCTTTTCCAAATCTGGCTCTCGCCCTGGCGCCGCGCACATTTGCTCAGATAATTTGCAAGAGTTTCACGGATTCCCATGATCAACGTACCAGAAACTGCGTTCTGGAAGGATTCTGGCTTCTGCGGGTGCACGAATTACGTTGATTCGCGGTATTGGAATCCCAAGAATGGCGTTCTGGCACGATCGGGGATCATCAAGACACAACAGTCTGGTTGATCCGTGGCATTGGAATTCCGAGAACAATGTTTCGGCATGCTTCCTGGTGTTCAAACGGATGTCTCCCAACGGGGCAGATCCCTCAATGAAAGTGAACTGTTGTAGGGGCCTTTGAAGAGGGAGCTTGGAGGGAGGTGTATTCCAACATCGTTGATGGCTCTTGGATTTACACTGGTCCTCCCTCCTCCTCCTCCTCCTCCTCCTCCTCCTCCTCCTCCCCCCTCCTCCTCCTCCTCCCTCCTCGCGTACCTCCATCCTCCTCGTCTTCCTCCCTCCTCCTCCTCCTCCTCCTCCTCCTCCTCCTCCTCCTCCTCCTCCTCCTCCTCGTCTTCCTCCTCCTCCTCGTCTTCCTCCTCCTCCTCCTACTTATGTTAGCGATGGTGGAACAAGACCCGTCATAGTTCTTCGGCTCTGAGGGCCAAGCCGAAAGCGGTGCACCGCACCTTTCCCGGGTCGAAGATCGGCGACGCCTCGGGGGTCGCCGACGCAGCACGGTGCCCACGGGTCGTCCGCGGACTTGGCCCTCGAGCTGTCCAGAGGCGCGTGCTCTAAAGACTCCCGCTGGCCTGCGGGCCGCAGCCCGCCGCTGGAGGAGGAGGAGGAGGAGGAGGAGGAGGAGGAGGAGGAGGAGGAGGAGGAGGAGGAGGAGGGAGGAGGAGGGAGGAGGAGGACCCAAGGGCAGAGGAGCCCGTGCTGGCCGCACCCCGCCGCCTTCGCGCTGCCAGGCCACGGCGCGGCGCCGAGGGGGAGGTGCCACGAGGAGAGACGCCGAGGAGGAGCGCGCGCCTCCCCTGGCCGTCCGCCGAGCGTGCTCGCTCCCACCACCTCCGTCTGCCTGGCGCGCGCGCGGCTGCCCCGCCGCCCGAGCCCTCCTCGACTACACACCGCGTGCGAGGCCCGCGCCCCGCGACCCGCGCGCGGCCGCCGCCCTGCTCCGCGTCGCCCTCGGGGCCCCCCCCCGGGGGCGGCGGCGCGCCCGCTCGCTCGGCCTGCGGCCTGCGGCCTCCGCCTCTCGGCCGCCGGGGGCCCGCCCGGCGCCGCGCAGTCTTCTTCCCCGGGGCGTCCCTGGAGGGGGGCGTCGAAGCGGGGGGCTCGCAGATCATGGCCCCTCTAATTACCTCTACCTCCTCCTCCTCCTCCTCCTCCTCCTCCTCATCTTCCTCCTCCTCCTCACCTCCACCCTCGCCTCCTCCTCTTCCTCCTCCTCCTCCTCCTCCTCCTCCTCCTCCTCCTCCTCCTCCTCTGCCTCCTCCTCCTGTGCGCGGACGAGGGGGAGGGGGGCCCAGGGACGCGTGACAGCAAGGAGGCGGGGAGACGTCGTGGCCCCCGCCAGGACGTCCGCTCCCCCCGGATCATCACCACCACCGTGGACGCCCCGAAAGTTGATCCAAACTGGGCGTGCGCGCCAGGCTTCGGGCCCGGGGACCCTCACGGATCCATCAGGCGCGAGAAATAGCGCAGAATGGTTGGATGTCTGGCACTGGTCTTAATTTTTTACGATGCTGCAATGTTTTCCCGACGACGGATCTCAGTGTCCTTGGAGGCCGCCCAAGTGGGGCCGCGGTAGATGGGGCCGTGGGCCAACTGTGTCGCCCACGCATCGGCGACGTCGGGATGGAGAGCATCGAACTCCGAATCGAGCAGCCTCGCCGACGCATCGGCGATGCGGCGAATCTCCTCGGACCCCACAAGGCTGCCCGGAACCAAGACTGGGTCCAGGACGACCATCGTGACTACAACAGCGCGCGCGCGCTTCGCGCGCGCATCAAACCCAGACTCTCCAGTGCCGACCACATGGACAACGAAGGGAAGGTTAGAATGACAACCTCACAAAAATATAATGCCTACCTCTGTCCGATGCCCGCTGCTGCTACGATCGTAAGCTTAAGTCAGGCCTGTCCCCCTACAGGGAGACTTTGGACGAAAATTTAAAACATAGCTGCAGCATGCTCAAAGATGGCCAACACATGATCAACAAATCGTCCCCAGGCGATTTTCATTACATTCCTCCTGTAGAGGGACAGGCCCGGCTTAACACTACCCACGAACATCGTGCCGTCTTGAGCACACGGTCGGCCGTGCTGCGTATTCCTCGGGGGCGGCCCCGCGGACCGAGCATTATGCCTCCAGCGAGGGAGGCCTGCCAGGACCGAGCCAGACCACCAGGACGCCCGGGAGCGGGACCTCGGCATGAACTTCCGAGTCGGCGGACGCCTCGGCGATGAACAAACCTCCCTTTAGCAAACCACCCTTAGTGAAAACGGCCTGGGACCGAAGCCGACGGACCTGGACCCGCAAAGATGACGGCCGCGACGCCCTCTCGCGAACCGAACAAGGCCAATCCGCTAATCGACGTGTCAGGGTAGGAGGTGCATCAACATCCGACAAGCGAATCGAACTGCAGGCGCTGGTCGAGCTACGCGCGGGACACGCCGGCAGCTCATTGGGCACAGCCGAGGGGGACGCGGAAGGGGCGGGACACGTGTCCTGGACACTGCGGGGACTTCCCAAACTCTCCATCCACGGAGTTACTATGTCGACAGACTCGGGGCCCAAGGAAGGCCCCGAGGGCCCGAACACGCAGGAAAAAAGCCAGGATCCGTTCCTCTCAGCGCACGCTTGCTTCCTGGCGACCATCCTCCTCCTCCTCCTCCTCCTCCTCATCATCATCATCATCAGCAGCAGCATCAGCATCAGCATCATCATATCATCAGCATCATCAACATTAGCATCATCAACATCCTGAGAATCCGCATCCTCATCCTCATCCTCATCGTCATCCTCGGCCTCACCCTCATCATCACCCTCATCATCCTCATCATCTTCCTCGTCAACATCACCCTCATCATCATCAGCAGCAGCCTAATCATCAGCATCATCATATCATCATCATCATCATCATCATCATCATCATCATCATCATCATCATCATCATCATCATCATCATCATCATCATCATCATCATCCTTAGCAGCATCAGCATGAGCATGAGCATCAGCATCATCATCATCAGCAGCAACATCATCATCATCATCAACAACATCAGCATCATCAGCATCATCAGTATCCTGATAATCCTCATCCTCATCCTAATCGGCATCCTCGTCCTCATCCTCATCATTACCCTCATCATCCTCATCATCATCCTCATCAACATCACCCTCACCATCACCATCAGCAGCAACAACATAACCATCATCATCATCATCGTCATCATCATCATCACCATCATCATCATCAGTGTCACCACCATCATCATCATGATCGTCATCATCATCGTCGTCATCACCACCACCACCAACATCACCATCATCATCATCATCAGCATCAACAACATCTTCAGCATCAACGATCAATCATCAAGCATCAGCAGCATCAGCATCAGCATGAGCAGCAGCAATCTCATCAGCATCATCACCATCCTCCCTCATCATCAGCATCACCATTATAGTCACAATTAGCATCACGAGAATCATCATCATCATAATCAGCAACACTCTCCTCCTCCTCCTAACCCTCATCCTCATCCTCATCCTCATCATCACCACCATCATCATCAGCATCATCAGCATCCTCATCATGATCATCATCATGATCATTATCAAAATCAGCATCTACATTATCACCGTCATCGTTTTCATCAACACCATCAGCATCAACACCATCACCACCACCGTTACCACCACCACCACCACCATCAGCACCACCGTCATATTCATCATCGTCATCAGCATCATCATCATCATCACCATCATCGTCATCAGCATCATCATCATACTCATCATCATCGTCATCCTCATCCTCCTCACTATCCTCATTCTCATCCTCATCATCATCATCGTCATCATCCTCATCATCATCATCATCATCATCGTCGTCATCGTCGTCGTCATCGTCATCGTCCTCCCTCTCTTCATCCTCATCCTCATTCTCATCCTCGACCTTTTCCTCACCCTCCTCATCCTCCTCCTGTCATCCTTTTCCTCCTCCTCCTCCTCCTCCATGCGTACATCATCATCAACATCATCATCACAATTAGCCTCATCATTCTCATCATCAGCATCGTCATCTCATCCTCATCCTCATGGTAATCATCATCGTCATCCCCTTTCTTAACATCATCATCATCATCATCATCATCAGCATCATCATCATCATCATCATCATCATCATCATCATCATGACCAACACCATCATCATCATCATCATCATCATCATCAGCATCATCATCATCATCATCCTCGTCAACATGAACATCAACATCCCTAGCATAATCATCATCGTCATCGTAATCGTCGTCAGCATCATCACAACCATCACTACCATCAACATTCTCATCATCACCATCATCATCATTGTCATCGTCAGCAGCATCATCATACTTCTCATCCTCGTCCTCATCCTCGTCGACATTACCCTCATCATCCTCATCATCCTCATCCTCATCTTTATCCTCATCCTCATCCCCATCATCATCATCATCATCATCATCATCATCCTCATCATCATCAACAACATCAACATTAGCATCAGCATCAGCATCAGCATCAGCATCATCATCATCATCATCATCATCATCATCATCATCATCATCATCATCATCATCATCATCATCATCATCAGCATCTTCATCACCATCCTTCACATCCGCCGCCGCCACCGACCCCACCGCCGACCTGCCGCCGCGCAGCCGCCGACATGCCTGCCGCTGCCGCGCCGCCGCCGACCTGCCCCCCCCGGGGGTCCGTGGCCGCCTGCGTCCATCGCGGCGGCCGGCGAGCTCTCCGTGCCCCCCGTGGTAAGGAGTCGCGCGGGGGCGCCCCGGAGACGGGGCGCCGGTGGGGCAACGATCCGGGGCATCCAACGTCTTAGGGAAAATAGGGCGGACACTTGTCCGTCGTTGTCGACAGCTGAGCGAGGGAAGCAAGCGAGTCTCACGCGAGATGGCATCGCGGCCTTGCGCCGCGGCTTACGTGGGCCGCTGGCTCGGCACGCCAGGTTGGAGACGAGGGTGCTGACGCGCGACCTTACGCGGGCAGCTTGCGCGCCCTTGTCGGTGAAGACGGCCCCGTTTCTGGCGCCGCTCATCTGGGGGCCCTCGCTGGGCCCTGGGACTATCAAACACCTGCTCAGCATGAGAAGCCGGCCCCGGGGAACAGGTCGGGATTGCCTGGGACTGCGTGCTGAAAAAGTCAAGGCATCGGTTGCCTGATCAGGGGGGCGCTGGTCAGGGGAGCTGAGCACCGAGCTGGGAGCGGCGATGCCTCATCGCCGACAGATCGGCGAGAGGCCCCGACAGCGAAGCCGCGCGCTCCTGGGCAGGTGGGCCCCGACCGGCGACGAGTGGGCGAATGGGGGGGTCGATGAGTCATCCCCCCCGTGCCGTCGCTCGGACGTCCATTCCCCGCGCATTCGATGTTGGCGGCGCGCACACGGGGGTCGGGGGAGGGGGGAAGGCTTCTTTTAGCAGGAGGCTGCTGCTCAGAAGGCGCCGGTCCTACATCTACACAGAAGGCCCGCGCGTTCTGAGAAGCAGGGGTGCTTCTAAGAGGCCTTCCCCCCTGCCACTTCCCCCTCTACGCGAGGCCGACGATGGCCCTCGCCGAATAAAAATGCACACGTTCGAGCGATGCCAAGCCCCGAGCCTACGTATATCGCCCCGGACGTTGCCCCTGCGGGTATCGGGGACGAGGTCCGGGGAGAAGCGCGGGCCTGCCCAAGGAGAGCCGCAACGGCTGCAGACCCAGGCACCTCTGCTGCTGGGAGGATCGGCTTCCTCCTTCAATTCATCCTGGGAGGATCGACTTCCTCCTTCAACTCCTCCTCATTCTCCTCCTGCTGCTCAATCTCATCCTCCTCCTCGAACTACTTCTACTACTACTTCTACTACTACTACTACTACTACTACTACTGCTACTACTACTACTGCTACTACTACTACTGCTACTACTACTACTACTACTACTACTACTACTTCTACTACTATGACTACTACTACTACTACTACTACTACTACTACTACTACTACTACTACTTCTACTA